GTGTTGCTGGAGGCTCCAGGATTATGCTCCATCCTTCAGCTCAGGCCTACAGCAGAGTTCTTCCACAAATACAGAAAACCTCCAGCAACCAATTATTAGCATTAAGACACTATATGTCTAAATCTCTCACTAGAGAACATTTTCAATTTATATTCTGGTCATTTACCAAACTACCAGGATGGGTTGAATTCAGAGAGAAGGTGCGGACAAAAATAAAATTATCAGGTAAGAAAATTCTCATTCTGTTGCACGGCTTCTCTCCTCATTCATTACTCCTGGGAAGTAATGAGCAGTGCATACCAGATGTAGAGAGGGAAAGAGTAAGCAGAGTTCAATTATTATAGTAGGATAGTAGGCAGGAACAGATGTTTCCTCCATATAAAGCAAGAACTTTATACACTAAGGAGTTATATGGGAACCAACCCAGCAGCACCTTCCTACCAAAGGATGTCTCTACAGAGGAATGGAAACTTACTTTGCAAATACTCCTCGGATGAGGCTCATACACTCATACCCAGTACCTTTAGGGACTTCTGTGAATAGTTTCCCAACTATTCACAGAATAGCATGCCAACTGGTGCAGGATTTTTACATCTTGCCTGCAGCAACTTTGAGGCTCTCAGGCCTTGGCATTATGATAGAATGAAATGAACAGGGTGCAATTGGCATATGCATTCTGTATGCTTGAAATATATCTTTAGAGCTGTAAGAATGCCTATTTATGCCATAAATCTTCCAAGGGTTAGAATACAATGATGGGAGAACTATTTCCCAGGAATTGTAGAAAGCGTAACTTACCTTGAAGAGAAAGGTTTCTGGAACTATAAGAATAACCTTTTCCTCATGACAAAGGCAGTGTGGTTTTTGTAGGGATATGGGAACTAATTCTCAAACTTACTTTTCAGAAGTAATGGTGACAAGAAAGGCCAGCTAAAGGCTCATCTAATTTGTCACTGTGATTAAACTTGGCACCTGATATTCAAATGCAAGATCTGATGTGCCTGGCTACAAAATGCCACTATGGTTGGTACCCACATTTCTATAGCGCTCAGTTGTAGGACTCCAACCAAACCTCCTGGAGAAACTCTAGTGTAGCTGAGATCACCAGATCTTTGGGGATTATAATAATATTCATATCACAACAGCACTGACAGGTCAGGGCATCACTGTGCTGGACAATACACAGTGAGGCAGTCCCTTCCCAAAAAGCTTTCTGTTTCCCCATAATCCTGACATGTAAATTTGGCCAGATGAGTAAATGAAATATCCTGGTTGAGTTCTGTCTGGATACGAAACTGTATCATTGCTTAATGGAGATTCCATGCTAAACTACATTTCTCTTCCAATGCCCAAGTTGTTAAAGGTAGATGTTCCCAGTCTACATGAAGGAATCCCAGCTTCAAGATGTCTGGTCTTTTCTGAAGGTACAATGTGGGGTCCTTGCCTATTTAGCAAGTCCAAAGTATCTTCTCGGCCAGTGAAGGATGAGGAGGAGGATTTCAGCTTCTTCTTCTTCAATTTCTTCTGTATCCTTTATGTGAACTCTCTGGAAAGGCAGCAGATTCTTCTCTTCCCAGGACACTATTTCCACTGTCATGGAGAAGCTTTGGACTCTGGTTACTCCCTGGTTTTCAGAATGGATATAAACATTCATGCCTCAAAAATAAGGCAACTCTTAACAGGAAGCAGGGGGACACTTCCTCTGCAAATACCATAATTGCCTGCCATATAGTATCTTGCACCTTCCATTGAAGCAGCTGGTACTGGTCACAGTCACAAAAAGGACATGGTACTCAGTGGTCCCATCCCATATGGCCATGTTTGTGGTTTTTGCTTTTTAAAATAATCTATTTAAAGACACACCCTTATAGATGTGTCAAAATGAACTAAAAGGACACCTACGATGAGATTTTGGAAATTTGTCTTCCAAGTATGCTTGCTTCCATAGTGAGTTTGCAAGGGTCTAGCGTGAATGTTGTGTTGGCTTTCAACATGTTGTTTATGCTTGCCTCCCCACACAGGGGCACTGGATGTTATCTGAGAATAATGCTTAATTTTGCATTGCATCAAGTACATGGTTTTATGTTTTCAGAAGGAATTTCAGCAGGTGTGCTTTGAGAAACCCATGAGGAATGAAGCTGATGCATGGCACTAGCAATTCTAACCATTGGAAATAACTAACTAACTACTACAAGGAGTCCTTGTGGCACCTTAGAGACTAACAAATTTATTTGGGCATAAGCTTTCGTGGGCTTCATAACCCACTTATAATCCACTTCATCAGATGCATGGAGTGAAAAATACAGTAGGCAGGTATAAATATACCGCACATGAAAAGATGGGAGTTGCCTTACCAAGTGGGAGGTCAGTGCTAACAAGGCCGATTCAATCAGGGTGGATGTGGCCCATTCCCAACAGTTGACAAGAAGCTGTGAGTATCAACAGAGGGAAAATTACTTTTTGTAATTACTTCTCCTGGCTGTTTACAGTGGTGAGGTAGTACACTATTTATCCTGGCCTGGGGACCTGTTGTGATAACTGGGCCCACAAACTGGGACTAATTGTGAGCTCAATTGTAAAAAGTATGTGAATGTTCATAAGATGTCACAATAACCTATAATGTTGATGGGAAAAGATACAAAAAGGAGGCAGAAAGACTAAATTAATCAAAACAAAAAGGCCTCCTGATATAACTCACGGAACGTGGTAAGATCATGCTTGGTAAATACAAAAAGTGGAAACAGAAATCAGTGAACCAAAATTGGTGTGCCAGAAACTATGTCTAATTGGTGGACAAAATAATGGGGGGGGATGGTCTGTTCCACCCACCACTTCGTTCTGGGATCTGTGATGGGGTGTACCAGCCCTGCACTGGACAAGAAGGGGTTAACTCCATATTGTGGGTAGAGGATGTCACACCTCCTGACCACTGCTGGGCATGCTCCAACTAGAGCCTAGGTATAAAAGAGAGCAGCCCAGCTCACTCAGGGCTGACCACTGAAGAGAGAGGACGCACATTACAGGCGCCCACCCAGCAGCTGCTGGAGCCCCAGATCACGAAGGCAAAGTGCGTTGAGAGCCAGGCAGATACCCGGCTGCCCATGGAAGCCCAAGAGAGGATGGAGTTTTTGAGAGCTTCACAGGCTGACGACCCCAGATGTCCAGGAGACCTGTGGACAGCAACGTTCGAAAAGAGGGTAGGAAGTAACCCAGGGGGACTAGACATTGATCCGGTTGTGGAACTGGGACAAAGGCAGCATGTTTCAGATGGATCCCCGCTGACCTAGTGGCAAATCCACTCGATGTTGACCGGGCTCTGGGTTGGGACCCAGTGGACTATGGAGGGTCTGGTCCCCCGGCTCCTACCCTGGCTACCACCCAGCCCTGAGTGGCATCTCACTTCCCCCCTGGCTTCTAGGCCACACAGCCCTGATAAGTGGGCAGCCATATTGACTCTGGCCACTGGGCCACACTGCCCCGAATAGGTGGGCAGCCATATTGACTCTGGCCACTAGGGAACACAGCCCTGCTTAAGAGGGCAGCCTCACTGACACTGGCCCTTAGGTCATACTGCCCTGGGGCTAAGGGTAGCCATTTGGACTCAGCCGTGGGGCTATAATACCCCACTTCCACCCCAAAGAGTGACAGGGTGTACCATTAACACTGTTTAATGTTGAACAGTGAGTGGCTATGTTATCACTTCTAGCCTATATATTCCATCTAAATTAATACAGCAGACCACACAACAAAGGAAGGGTATTGGTACGTATACCTCGATTGTTGAAGAAGCTTGTTAACTGACTTGGGGAGTCTGAAAGGCCTGTTCCCCCAGGCTAGCTAACATGCAGGTAAGTACTATAGGTGCAACCTAGTACCACTCATGGCTATCCTCAGTCAGTCAGGATCATTCTGATCATGGGAAGGGATTTCTCACTTACCTCCCTGGAAGGGGAGCTAGGTAGGAGCCCTGCTACTTTCCCCAAGGAGCAGCAGAAAGCCCCTTTCAGGACCCAGCCCAGCTCTGTTGTGGGACTTACCAGCTGAGCTGGCCAGATAGCTTCCTCCTTGTCTGTAGGCTCTCTCCCTGAAAGCTCAGAAACCCCTTAGTTGGCTTTTCTGCTTTGAAGCCAGGACTCCACAGGGCATGGCAGGGACCTGACATGCCAGTCTGACTCTATGCCCCGTGCCCTGGGAAGTGGCAGGACATAATTCCCTCTCTAGAGAGCCTATAAGTGCTGCCTTGTGTAGGGAGCCCTGTTTACATTTAAGTCAGTTGCTTGCAGGACAGCTCAGCTGTGCCTGAGTTAGGACAGAAGAGTCTGGCAGTGGCACATCCAAGGGGTTGACACCACCACACTGCTATTTACCTGACACAGGGGAGGGGGAGGAGAAGGAGGAAGATTAAAACTTGCAACTGCACAAAAATGAATACAAAGATGATAAAATCACTGGGAGAAAGTGAATCGCCAACTTGTCATACTTCTGGAGGCAGAAAATCTGGTGGCCTGAGTTGAAGGGCAGAGCTTAGCCTTGGAGCCTCCAGCAACACTACTGGACCACTGCTGAAGGGGCATTAGCCCATGAAAAATGAATGAAGAGAGAAGGTGTGCAACAGAAAGGAAACATTAACATGGAATGTGGACTGAACAAATCATCTATTTGAAGATCTCACAGATCTGGAATGTAACAGTAAGTCCCAAATCCCAAAGAGGATCGACTGGTCACTAGAGTGTGGGTGAGGTGGTCAAAGGTGTAGGATAAATACAAGTTATCACATGGATATCGTCCTTTTACATAAAGACATAATATATGTGTGATCTTTACAGCATTTCTTTACATCTTTTCACCATATACAGAATATAAAATGAAGACTTGATTCGAATTACCATAGTGCACAGCCAAAATATGGTGGTGTATAATTAACTTGTATTGGTTATTATACTATTAGCAATGATCTAACATGACACAGAGATGAAAAATGATTTAAACAAAGAATGTACCTGGAGTTCGTTATTCTTTTCCTTATTCTTAATCCAGGTCTTTCCTTGACCCTGTGGGTCAATCAGCAAAGGATATCGAGATGCCTTTGTGACAATGATGCCATTCTGAATTGAAAGGTCATCATTTGGAAGACCCTGGAGGCTCCATTCTCCAATTGTAGCGTTGTCAACAAGCATACTGATGAGGTTAAGATCCTAATATAAAAGCTTAAATTATTATCTGTTAGCATGCTCTTATTAAAAATGCTTAGTTGGAAGCTAAAGTTTGTGAAAAAGCAAACATGCTTCATCTCGCTGGGTTTTAGAGCTTGGGCTCCAGCTTGAATGGGAATGCCTACACTGCTATTTTTAGCCCCATAGCATGAGCCCCACAAGAATTGTCTGGGGCTCTGAGACTCGCTGCCATGTTTTTGTTTTTTATTTTGAAAATTAGACGCACCATAAGACAAAAAGGCTAAGTGACCTGACTGGCCCAACGAAGGGAGTCAGTGTCAGAGCCAGGATTAAACTGCAGGAGTACTTTACTCCCAGTTCTGTTCTCAGTCCACAACCACACTCTGTGTCACTGTTAGTGAGCTGCCCTCCTTTTTGCCAGCTCAGCTACAAGCAGCCACTTTGTAGCCACATCGGCTGTAGGCAGCCTTTGTCTTCGGCTTCATCCTGCAAAACACTGCCCATTACAGCTATAAATTCATATCATGCCCTCCAATAGATCCAAAGGCAGGGAGCGACTATCCCACAAACTCCAAATCATAGCAATTAATTTACATTTTCAAGGGTATTTTCAAAGAAAAGGATTAGAAACTTACTGTTAAAATGTCAAGGCTTTCCCCCGCTTTCATTCTCTTTTAAGGCCTGATCCTGCAAAGATTTACTCACATGTTTAACTTTATGTACTGTGAGTAGCCTGATTGGCTTCGATGGCCTAAGTCTCCCCAATTTAGAGGTGGTCAGAGCTAGGCTCGCTATTGCCAACCCCAAGAGTTCAGAAATCATGAGTCAGGCCTCCAAAAATCAAGAGATTTTAAAAATAATATAGTTTGAGTTCTTTTATTTGCCTTCTGTTTGGGGGGCTTTTAGCATTCACATTTTCAAGTTTTCTTTGCAACTACTAGGGCTAGAAACTTCTTTATTTTTTAAATGTAAGCTGAGATTCTTACAAAAGCAGATGACTCTAGAAGATGAAGCTTTAAGAAAAACACCAAAAATTGCAAGACTTGTCATAAAATCATGAGAGTTAGCAACACTGGTGGCTGGAAGACCTAATGGCTAGTTCTATTTGCATTCCTTTGACACCTTCAGTCTGACCATGTCAAAACCTTAATAATTTCATTTCAAGCTGGGAAAAGTGAGGCACAAAGAAGTTAATAGTAGGGCTGTCAAGCAATTAAAAATATGAAAAAAAAATTAATCATGATTAATCTTGTGATTAAAAAAATGAATCGTGATTAATCGCACTGCTAAACAATTATAGAATACAATTTATTTGAATATTTTTGGATGTTTTCTACATTTTCAAATATATTAATTTCAATTACAACACAGCATACAAAGTGTACAGTGCTTGTTTTATATTTATTTTTGATTACAAATATTTGCACTATAAAAAACAAAAGAAATAGTATATTTCAATTCACCAAATACACGTACGGTAGTGCAATCTCTATTATGAAATTTAAACTTACAAATTTAGAATTATGTACAAAAAATAATTGCATTAAATTTTTTTTAAAAACTTTAGAACCTACAAATCCACTCAGTCCTACTTCAGCCAATCACTCAGACAAACAAGTTTGGTTACAATTTGCAGGAGTTAATGCTGCTCATGTCTTGTTTACAATGTTACCTGAATGTGAGAACAGGTGTTCACATGGCACTATTGTAGCTGGCATCACAAGATATTTACTTGCCAGATGCGCTAAAGATTCATATGTCACTTCAAGCTTCAATCACCATTCTGGAATACACGTGTCCACGCTGATGACGGGTTCTGCTCGATATCGATCCAAAGCAGAGCAGACCGAAGCATGTTCATTTTCATCATCTGAGTCAAATGCCACCAGCAGAAGGTTGATTTTCTTTTTTGGTTGTTCGGGTTCTGTACCTTCCGCATCCAAGTATTGCTCTTTTAAGACATCTGAAAGTATTCTCCACATCTCGTCTCTCTCAGATTTTGGAAGGCACTTCAGATTCTTAAACCTTGGGTCAAGGGCTGTGTCTATTTTTAGAAATCTCACATTGGTACCACCTTTGCGTCTTGTCAAATCTGCTGTGAAAGTGTTCTTAAAATGAACATGTCCTGGGTCATCATCTGAGACTGCTATAACATGAAATATATGGCAGAATGCGGGTAAAACAGAACAGGAGATATACAATTCTCCCTCAAGGAGTTCAGTCATAAATTTAATAACGCATTTTTTTTAATGAGCATCATCAGCATGGAAGCATGTTCTCTGGAATGGTGGCCGAAGCATGAAGGGGCATATGAATGTTTAGCATATCTGGCACATAAATACCTTGCAATGCCAGCTACAAAAGTGCCATGTGAACGCCTGTCCTCACTGTCAGGTGACATAGTAAATAAGAAGCACTCAGCAGTATCTCCCATAAATGTAAACAAACTTGTTTGTCTTAGCAATTAGCTGAACAAGAAATAGGACTGAGTACACTTGTAGGCTCTAAAGTTTTACATTGTTTTGTTTTTGAGTGCAGTTATGTAACAAAGAGTTTAAAAATGAAACATGAAGCTTGAGAAACGGAAAAGCTGTTTAGTTCCATTTTACAAACATTTTCTAGCAAATCTTGATTATCCTGATGTTATACTTAAGTAACCCTAAATCCTAGTAAACCTTATTCTGTGAATGAGGAGTCAATTGCTTTGCCAACTTAATCTGTAAAAACAGTGGGTTAAAGTATTCATTACACAATCTGGCAGAAATATGAAACAAAGGGAGCTTTCATCCAGATCCATCCTTGATATTCATGGCTTTATACTTCAGGATCATAACAACAAAATAAGTGATTCTAGGTTGACCAGATTTTTAATGTTGGTGGGAGGGATAGTGGGTAACAACGGAAAGGGAGTGGTCTTGGTGACAATAGGAAGAGGTGCTTGGGAGAGTGAGAGAAGGGAACCTCTGCTCTCCTCAGCCAAACAAGCCTCTTCCCTCTCCTACATGCCATCCTGTGGGTTTGTCACAGGAGGAGTGCGGATTAAAGGACAAGTACAGAGGGGTGGGAGAGTCCCTGGAAAGTTCTGGCAAGAGTATGATAATCCTTTCAGGGGGAAGTCCTTGAAACACACATGTACTCATTGCTTTTAGTGAAACACACCCTGAAAACAAGGATATTTTGGTTTTTAGGGACACAATCACCCTATATATGCTGACAGGGATTTGGTGCCTAAAATTGCCGCCATTGACTTCAATGGGAGCAGGAACAGGCTCTTTTTTATATTATCTTACTGTCACGAAATACCATATATAGCTAAAGTGATTCACAGAAATGTTAACATAAGAGGTTCTCAGATTACAGTAACCTGGTTGAATTTGCTAACTCCACCATGTGATTCAGTACGTGCAGGATTTATGATGTACTGAAGTAAAAAGAGAGGATTTTTGAATGAGATTTTTTCATATTAGCATATTTGCCACTTTTTTTGTTTAAAGAAGGAGATGGAACTTGACAGCCGGTAAATCTTTTCAAAGGATTTCTCTGTTAAGAATTACATGTTCTTAGCAGTATTTTTCTGTGGGGCACAATAATGTATCTTTTTCTAGAATGCAGGAATACTTACGTCACTATATGGAATCCTATTTTGGTCCATCTCTGTCTTCCACAGCCGGAGCAGCAAGTTTCTATACTCCTGATTGAATGGCCCAGAGTAGGAGAGAAATCCAGTGGCTAGAAGAACATTTCCAACTAATCGAATAATTTGATCTTGAAAATTTTTGCTGCTTTCTGTCCAACGAATCTAAATTTTAAAATGTTGTAAAGAACTTTGTTAAATAGGCACAAAATTCAACTGAAGTTCAAATCAAAGCATCTATTTTTTCTTCCCAGTATATTTTTACTGCTAATTGAACCAAGAGTGTTTTGGGCTTAAAACAGTCTATTCTGAAAGCATAAGAAATTTCCTAAATCACTTTTTTAATTATTCCCTTACTGTTATGAATTTCTATTCTCATTTGTTTTGTATGCACTATGGGCCTGGTCTTACAATCTTTACTTAAACAAAACTCTCATTAAAGCCAGTGACAGTTTTGCCCAAGTGAAGATGGCAGGACCAGGCTCTGTGTATCCCCTTATCGTGCTGTCGGTCTCAGAAAGTATAGCTGACTCACAGGTCCTGAAAGATCTTACAGCTCAACACCCATGAAAACCCACCATACTGAATTGCAGACACATGTTCAGATTTGCTCTTTCAGTTTAAGTATTGACTTAAAAATATGTAGCCAAAGCATTCAATACATTTCATATATATTTAAAACACAATAAAAAAGCGACAGCTTTTTCGCCTCAAACTTCGAGACTCTGTGGATGCAATGGTGGAGGCAAAAAATGTCTTTATAGTTCTGAACAGCCACAGCATATGATTAAATCATCACATCATATACTTGATGATGGAATCAATTAGATCAAGTCTTGCACCACCACTGGTCTAGCTGTCCCTGTTTCTGCTTCAGCGGTCACAAGTCCTCCATAAGCAGGGTGACTTGTGAAGAACCCAGGGAAGAAGGAACCGAGGAGCCAACCCATCAAAGTGAAGGACATACGGTGAAATCCTGGGCCCACTGGAATCAATGGCAAAACTCTCATTGACTTCACTGAGGCCAGGATTTCACCCAAACAATTATTATAAGGTGCTACCAAATGACCAGCAGAGATGACCAGTATCCTGCTTCAGAGTCCTCTGGAAAGGTTCAGGTTCCATAAGCCTCTGAAGTCGGGCCATCAAAGTAGTTCCCTCACCCTTACAAGGAACGGCAACTTCAAACTCAAAGCACATGGGGCAATGGTCACACCATGACATAGTCAAAATTTCCAACCCTTGGGTTCAAAACATATATCCAGTGTTTACTGGAAGCACACATAATTTCGTAAAGGCAATGCTCCTCTATCTTCAGATATGCATTCTGAATTAAAAACAAAGTATTTTAAAGATCTGAAATGCTGCCAGGTCTTATTCTTCTACTGGGTGAAAACTATAACAACATCTGTGACCCGACAGGTCTTGCCCATGGGATATTGACAAATCAAAATTATACCCTATGGATTGAAATGTTTGTCAACTCACAGACCTGCAACTGGAAGTTTTGCAGGGAAGTAGTCAATACTTTGAACTACTATTCTTGGGTATATATAAAAAAGAACAATTCTTTTCATAATATTTAATTCAAATGTTTAATTAAAGACCTATTTCATGATCCTATTGAAGTTAAAGGAGTTTTGCCAGTATTGCTCCCAGTGCTTAAATCAAACCATTAGCACAACATGAATTGCAGAATAATGATCTAAATATGCATACAAAAGAGCAATATTAACTCAACAGGCTATTATAACTTTGTTATATACACACAGAACAACCAAGAATTTTATATAAGCAAAATACAATAACATTCACACTACAGTATATAGATGTCACTTTTTGTCTGTGAATTTATTTGGCACTATTGATTGTTGCTATGGATTGTGCTCAAAGCAATTAATTTATGCTGGATCTCTGCTCAGATGCATCAATACCTTTTCTCCACCTAATCCTTCAATTAGGGCTGTGGCATTGTTCATCTTCCGTCTGCATGCGTCAGCATCATCCAGTAAAGTTTGTTTCTCTTGCATGGTAGCATTATACATGGCTTGCACTTGGTCCAATTCCCTCTGTTTCTCATCAAGCTGGTTCTGTGCATTATTTAATTCAGTTTGCGCAACTGCTAGCCTTGCTTCCTGCAACGCTAGATTTGCCTACAAATAATTCAGGGTGAAAAATATTGAATCCCAATTATCTGACAGTTCTAACTCATAGCATTCATTCCATACTACTATAGTGTTGTATGTACTGTACAGTACTGGGGTATTATTTTAATACAATGCTTTGTTTGAAACCACAAAATTTGAATATAGTTTCTTTTTTCAATTTTAGTTATTGCTGGCAAGAAATCACAACATTAAGCAGCTTGGTGCAGTATTAAACTGCTTTGATTCGTTAGTATCTTCAGGCTGATCAGTTAATCATACAATGCATCTTCATTTTCAACAGTTCAAAATCGGCAATGCACTCGAAGGCCATCACGAAACAGCTGTACGCTAGGGACTTTAGGCAATCTGTTCAGTATTACACCCAAGACTCAAACTTTTGTAATTTCTTCTCAGGGCAAGAACAAATGACAACTGTGACTTTTGAATTATGAACAGCTACTATGGAAACTACTGATTTTCCTCCCAACTACTTCTGTGATAAAAGTAAAAGGAAGCACACTGTACCAGTTGCACTAAACATGCATTTTTGCTCTTCTGGGAGCTAAAATCCAATCAACATGCTTCACCTAACTGTTTAATTCTTAATTACTAATATTAAATCATTGAAATCTGAGCTCATGACTAGTGCATTCCTACCAGACAAAACTGATATTTATTCAATGAATTATGAAAAGTTTATTCCACTATATACATGATTGTAAAAAATCAGGGAGCAACTAAAGGAAACCCTGCTTAGTAATCAGATTTATAATTAAAGATTATTTCCAGCTGAACTGGTTATTTTGGAATTTAACGAGCATCTGGTTTAATCAGCATGTAACTTAACTCTATACTCCTTTTGTTACAAGATTTCTGAAGTGGTCATGCATTTTCTGTCAAAAGCTTTATTACCCGTATATATCTCATAAAAGGTCTCACTTAGGCAAATACCTCCCACCTTGCCCAAGCCAATAAACAAACAGAACATTGACACTATTATGGTGACTCTGTAAACAGTCTAAATAAGCACTGATTTGTAACACAGGGCTCTGCTAAGAAAATGTCCTTAATTCTGATTATAATATGCTGAAATCCAGTAAATTGTCCTTGCTGTAATTAGTGAAATCCTTGTGAAAAAGAAAAGCCAAGTGCATGTCTTGAGATTTTATCCCAAGAGCAGGGCTGGATTTAGCAGCAGATGACCCAGGCAACTGCCTGGGGTGCCAGGCTTGGCGGGTGCCGGGCTTGGGGTGCTGCCTGGTTTACTCAAAATCAACTGACAAAGTGTTCTGTTTTTCTTGCAAAATATTTGACAAGAATGCCAAATTGTTGCTTATGCTTTCTGGGTACAATTACTGGCATAACTTAGCTGATGCTCTGAAGCAACATGAAAAGTCACCTGGCCATTTCGTGCCCTACTCCAAATGGATGGAGTTCGAGTCTAGGCTCAAGCTAAATAAATGCACAGACGCAGAAAACCAACGCATTATTACTGTAGAAACCCAGCATTGGAGGAACATGCTCAATTACCCTCTTCCTTGCAAACATGGGAGGCCAGTGACCCAGCCACCCAGGGAGGCTAATGCTTGTCTCCTCCCCTTGTGCCTGAGGCCCCGCACCTTCTGTCCCCTCTCCCCTGCAGAAGCCCAAAGCACTCCCACCGCAGCCCCCTGGTCCCAGTGCCGGATGGCCGGGGGCCGAGGGCCCAGCCCCTGTGTGCCACAACCTCAACTCCCACAGCCCCTGGGCAGCATGGCCACAGCATCCCCAACCCCGGTGCTGTGGGTGGCTGGGAAGCGCAGCTGCCGTGCCCCCAGCTCCAGGACTCCAGATGTCTAGGAAGCATAGTCGCCATGTCCCCAGGCCCGGGGTCAGGTGGCCGGGCAGCACCGGCACTGAACCCCTGGCCCTAGGGCTGAAGCAGTCAGGCAGCACAGTCACCAGGCCCCCAGTCCCAGTGCTCGGGCAGCCAGCCCCAGAGCACCAGGCAGGCAGCACGGCCCAGCAGCAGCTGCCCCAGTGACCCCGAGTCCCTTCAGGAGGCATGCTGTCCTCGGGGCAGGGCCATGGTAGGCTGTTTGGGGAGGCACAGCCTCCCCTTGCCTACAATACCCACCACCATGCTTGCAAAGAATAATATGGCTTTCCAGAGTTTGTTGGATATGTTGTTCACTGAACGTAACGGTAATTTCCTTGGTTTAGTAGAGCTCCTTGGGAAATACTATAATGTCTTTCATGAGCACCTACATTGAGTAGTTCGTAAAGAAACTGTGGACCATTACTGCAGCAAAACAATTCAAAACAAATTGACTGACCTTATGGAAAGGAAGGTGCTTGATAACATATTGATGCGGCTCGGCAAAGCCAAGTACTATGCCGTAATAATGGATTCCACGCTTCCCATATCGGTCACATAATGTCATTTACAGTAAGATTTGTTGATGACGAAGATGGCTGTATCCAAGTAAAGGAACATTTTATCTGTTTCCGGTCTGTGGACAGACTTTATTAGAAAAGGCCTAACAGAACTGTTCATAAATGGCTTGAATGAGAATAAAATAAAGCTTTAAGACTGCTGTGGTCAAGGCTATGACAACGGTGTGAACATGACGGGAAGAAACAATGGTGTCCAGGCAAGGATCCTTGCGCTGAATCCAAGAACTGTCTTCCTGCCTTGTGGCTGCCGTTCCCTCCACCGGGTTGTGTCCGATGCAGCATCATTTTCTTTACATTCAGTATCTCTCTTCAGAGTACTGCAAAGGCTATACATCCTGTTTTCAGCATCATTTATCAGGTGCAAGATCCTCACAGCCATGTTACAAATCTGACTGTGAAGCTGCTAAGTGATGCTCGCTGGGAGAGCTGCATTGACCGCATAAGACCAGTGAGGTACCAAGAGACTGAGGTTTACGACGTATTGATGGAACTGGCATAGTCAAGTAAAGCCAAGGCCAGAGCCCAACACGAAGTGCAAAGCCTGGCAAACCAGATCACTGACTTCAAACTTCTGGTCTCAGTTGTGGTTTGGCACAATATCCTGTTCCCAGTAAACACTGTAAGCAAGGCATTACAAACTCAGTCAATGGACATCACGACCACTACTACTTTGAAAAGAAGCTGCCTTGATTTCTTTGTAGCCATCAGAGACAACGGATTTGAAGATGCCATCATGCTGCTAAAGAAATGGCGGAAAACTTGGGAGTTGAGCCAGTCTTCAAGGAAACTCATAGTCATCGGAAAAAGAGAGTTTGGTTACGAGGGCAGAGATGAAGTGATGGGAAGCTCAGAAGAAAAATTCAAGAGGGAGGGTTTTTTGCTCACTTTTTAACTGCTTGAGTGTCCATTGAAGAAAGGTTTGGATAAATGAAGCAGCACAAAAAGACCTCGCGGGGGAGGGCAGGTTGTATGACCTTAGTAAGCTGCCAGCAGACAAGAAAACACTTTTGGACAATTGTACAGACATTCTCTGGACACTGACACATGGGGAATGTTCTGACGTCGATGATAAAGACCTGTATGTCAAATTGGACAACACCTGTCACATTCTACAAAACAGGAAGCACTCTCTTTTCCAATTCATTCATGATGCAGAGCTGACAGACACTTTTCCTAATCTGTGGATAGCTTTGAGGATTCTGTTCACGCTGCCCGTCACAGTTGCAAGTGGTAAGTGCAGCTTTTTGAAGCTCAGGCTCATTAAAACATAACTTTGATCGATGATGGCTATTTTATCGCTTCAAAATGCTATTGGCCAGTCTTTGGATCTCTGTGACACTCTGACAGTTCGCAAGGGCAAAGGTGAGAAAAGCAACTTTTTGAACGAAAGGACTAGAGTTAACATTCTAAGGCTGTCACTTACTGCAACACTATTTAATGCTGGTCCACCAAATATTAGTGCCCAGTTCAATTTGTTGAAGTTAGTACATTTCAGTTATTCTTAAAATTAAAAAGTTTCTATAAGCTTAGAGGAAACCATTTTTATTTGCTTATATATGGCATGAATAAATACAGATTTACAGATCCTATCATGCAAATTTATCATCTTATATGACAGGGATAAATCATGCATGCAAATCATAGAATCATAGAATAACAGAGTTGGAAGGGACCTCTGGAGGCCATCTAGTCCAACCCCCTGCCCAGAGCACGACCAATCGCAACTAAATCATCCCAGCCAGGGCTTTGTCAAGCCTGACCTTAAAAACTTCTAAGGAAGGGGATTCCACCACCTCCCTAGGTAACGCATTCCAGTGTTTCACCACCCTCCTAGTGAAAAAGTTTTTCCTAATATCCAACCTAAATCTCCCCCACTGCAACTTGAGACCATTACTCCTTGTCCTGTCATCTGCTATCACTGAGAATAGTCTAGATCTATCCTCTTTGGATCCACCTTTCAGGTAGTTGAAAGCAGCTATCAAATCCCCCCTCATTCTTCTCTTCCGTAGACTAAACAATCCCAGTTCCCTCAGCCTCTCCTCATAACTCATGTGTTCCAGACCCCTAATCATTTTTGTTGCCCTTCGCTGGACTCTCTCCAATTTCTCCACATCCTTCTTGTAGTGTGGGGCCCAAAACTGGACACAGTACTCCAGATGAGGCCTCACCAATGTCGAATAGAGGGGAACGATCACGTCCCTCGATCTGCTGGCAATGCCCCTACTTATACATCCCAAAATGCCATTGGCCTTCTTGGCAACAAGGGCAACACTGTTGACTCATATCCAGCTTCTCGTCCACTGTCACCCCTAGGTCCTTCTCTGCAGAACTGCTGCCGAGCCATTCGGTCCCTAGTCTGTAGCGGTGCATTGGATTCTTCCATCCTAAGTGCAGGACTCTGCACTTGTCCTTGTTGAACCTCATCAGATTTCTTTTGGCCCAATCCTCCAATTTGTCTAGGGCCCTCTGTATCCTATCCCTACCCTCCAGCATATCTACCTCCCAGTTTAGTGTCATCTGCAAACTTGCTGAGGGTGCAATCCACACCATCCTCCAGATCATTTATGAAGATATTGAACAAAACCGGCCCCAGGACCGACCCTTGGGGCACTCCGCTAGATACCGGCTACCAACTAGACATGGAGCCATTGGTCACTACCCATTGAGCCCGACAACCTAGCCAACTTTCTACCCACCTTGTAGTGCATCCATCCAGCCCATACTTCTTTAACTTGCTGACAAGAATACTGTGGGAGACCGTGTCAAAAGCTTTGCTAAAGTTGAGGAATAACACGTCCACTGCTTTCCCTTCATCCACAGAACCAGTTATCTCATCATAGATGGCAATTAGATTAGTCAGGCATGACTTTCCCTTGGTGAATCCATGCTGACTGTTCCTGATCACTTTTCTGTCTTCTAAGTGCTTCAGAATTGATTCCTTGAGGACATGCTCCATGATTTTTCCGGGGACTGAGGTGAGGCTGACTGGCTTGTAGTTCCCAAATCGTGCATCAAAGTCATGAAATGGACTACAAATGCAGTAAAAAATAAGGTATTCAAAAGTTTAATACATGGTGGGGATCGCTGAAGATGCTCCTCGTCTGGAGCACCATATGGTCTAGAGCTGGCCCTGGCCAAGCGTGATAAAACATACAGCATGAAGTCTGGTGGGCCCTAAGAGAAACGGCTCTGTCAACAGAGAATTAGAGGAGCAAATCTGATTCATGTCAACAAAGGAAGAGTACATTGTTCCATGAATTCAACCTCCGGGGAATAGCAATGTCAACAAGAACTTCAGTAGCTATTGCCACTACATCTGCTGACATACAGCAGATCATAGGGATGAGGCTGGTGATAGCAATTATTTTATAGTGGAGAAAAGCAAGGAAAAATACACACCATGACACCTAAAAGGTGAGGTGTGTGAGACTGAGAGAGAAGACTTGAGAGAGAGCTGCCCCCCATAGAATGGGGTATTTGGAGCTGAAAGCTAATCCAACACGAAGAGGCAGGTCTTTGGGAGAAAAGAACTAAACAGATCAACTGGAACAGGGAGCTTAGGTATCAGGGCCTGCAGCAGAGCGAGTTTGGAAGTAGGCCTACAGCTGAATCAGTCTCCTGTCAAACTAACCAGTACAGCTGGCCGGAAGTGGGATGCCTGATTGGCTACCTCACCTGATTGGTTGGAAGAGTCAGCAGACTGGCTCTTCAGCACAGCAGCAACAGCTGTTCAGCAGCTGCTCAAAGCATTAGCCCATGGCTGTTATAGTTTTTGTGCCTGCTTGTTCCCACTCCTGTTCCTGCCTTGGACCCAGTCTTACCTCACTCCAGGGAACCCAGTCCTGACCCTTGGCTGCAATTCCTTACCTTTAGCTCTGGAATCTGACCTCTGACTCTGATTATGACCCCTAGCTCTGATTTCTGATTTGAACTCTGACCCTTGATTCTGGTGCCTGGCCTCTGACTCCAGCTCTGACTCTGATCTGTGATTCCTGGCTACCGACTCCTGCTCTAACCACTGGGCATGATCGTCCATGTCCTGATCACTGACAGTGTGCGTAGCCCAATCACAAACAATAAAAGGACTAGGATTGATAGGGCAAGCATGGATTCGATAAAGGTCAGTATCTCTCTGACAGAGACAGTGGAAGCCCTACAAGACCTTGCAAGCCCAGATTGCTGCCCTGCAGGCACAGAATGCAGCCCTGTAAGCTCAAGCCATGCTACCTTCAGCAGTGACCACTGCTCCTCATGGACTCAAGCTCCCCCTACCTGACAAGTTCCATGGAAATTCAGTGTCAGGTCATATTTCTTCTCTGCCCACAATTGCACCCTACTGACCAAGCCCGAGAGGGATTGATTATAAGCCTGCTTCCCAGGGAGGCCCTGGCTTGGGTATCTCCACTCCTGGAATAATCAAGCCCACTTCTGGGACAATTTGAGGACTTGGTTCAAGCTATGGTGATGATCTTCAGTGACCCAAGTCACAAGTGTATGGCCAAAACCACGTTTCAAGTGTTGTAGCAGGAACATGGGCCAGTTGCTAAATACGTAGTGGAGTTCTGATGTTTGGTAGAAGACACCGAGTGGAATGAGGCTGCCCAGTGTTATCATTTCCGGATCACCTTAATCAATGATATTAAAGATGAATTGGCATGGGTGGAATCCCTGTCCATTCTGGAAGCCTTATCTGACCTATGCATCAAGATTGACTATCGCTTGACCAAACACTGGCAAGAAAAAAGATGGTCCTCTTGGCTCCAGCCAGCCCTGCTGGTTCAGCCCTTCCCCCATCACCAAGCCCTTCCTTGTTGCCCAAACCCATGCAAGTCAAGGAGGCCTGACCCTGCCTCTCAACATGAAGAAGAATCAATGCTGGTCAACAGCCTATCCCTATACTGCGGGGAACTAGAACACTTTGCATCAAGTAGCCCTGCCAAGGTTCAATCTGTGCCCTGGTCAGGTAAACATCAAGCACGTGCCTCGATAGGGGGTCCAGGCTGGGCTGGCATCCTTCCTCTCTCCCCAAGCAGCCCACACCAACTCGTGTCTGCCAGTACCCTGGTGATGGCCAATCAGGATCCAACATATTTCCAACTCCCTCTCAGGCTCTGGCACTCTGTGATGCCCGATACCAACCTAGAGACACTGGTGGACTTGTTTGCCCTCAGGCAATTTCATGGAACTGGAGTTTGACCAACCACACAATACCCCCATCCAGTGCAAGGACTCCACCAAGTTAAATGGTTCACTCCTTTTGTTGGGACTGGTCACCCACCGAATGGTTCCCCTAGAGTTAACTGCCATTTGAGGCCACCAAGCAATTTTCCAATTTGGGCTAAATTCCTGCACCAGATTCAACTGTTGTCCTTGGCATCCCCTGGTTCATCACCCACAACCCGCACATCTGCTGGTGATCAGGCACAGTACACTTTGACTCTGTCTTGCCAACAGTTCTGTTTCCCAAGAGTTGACCCAGGACCGGCAAACTACTGCAGTGTACTGTGTCCTCCTCCGAAGAATTCAAAGGGAGGATCCAAAGATGCAAAGGGAGGATTCAAAGGCAACTCCCATGACCTCCCCAATAGCTCCTGGGATTCCTGTTAAATATCAACACTGTGCAACATGTTCAAAAAAAAGAAAGCCGACAGCATACCGCCTCCTCACAGCTATAACTTTAGGATTATAGGAAGTCTAGATAGTGACCCCTATAGTTAAGGTTACCACCATTTTCCATTATAATAAAATGTTTGGCTTATAACTTTGCCGAACTTTAACTGTTCAGGCTGATTATTATTTTATTTTTAATCAAAAACAGTTCAGAGAGATGAGGGAAACCTTTTCCCCATTGTAAATAATTCTTTCAAACTTTGTGTTGAGAAGCTGTAGTATCTCCATACTTTGGAGAAGGGACTTGAAATTTGGCACAGAGGCACTCTGGTATCAGGAATGTATCTTTTTCCATCAAAGTGAAAAACCACCCACGTTTGCCCAAGTAAGCCTTTGAAAGATCTCACATATGCTCAGGAGAGATTTGTTAGAGTTTGGCAGCTAAATTCTCCAAAGATTCCATTTGCACCGAGCATGCTCCAGCTCCTCACAGCTTATACATGAGAACTGAACAGAGGATGCTCCATACCAAGGCTGTGGAGGCTGAGCAGTAATTTCCTTGCAATTGCTCTTCCTAGCAGCAAGCCACAAACAACCTTTCACTAGGCGTAGGGGAGACTCATAACACAGGCCCACATCCCAACGCACACAGACACGCTAATTAAAGTTTTTTTTGTCATGGTCATGGGCTTGTGGTCTTCTGGCTGAGCACCTCCCTTGGACTGGGCCCTGGTAAAGTGTACCCATTTCCCCTCTGTATTTGGGGCCTGCCCATCAGCAGGGAGCCACTGTGACACTGTACTTTCAATATTTTTCCATGCTGGAGCCCAAGCAGAGTGAAGGAGAAGGAGAAGCTGGGCTCTGCATGAGGCGGGGTTCTGTCTAAAAAACAGTATGTGATCATGCAGTTAAAGTCTATATTATAACATATATGCATCAGAGGTCGAATTAAAGTTGCACAAGCAAACTTAATTCTGGCATTTCCCAACTTCTAAATGCTTGACTTTCCAACCTTAGTGTTCTTTTAACATAGTTTCTTTCAAAGTAAATAGTTTAGTTATTTCAAACGTGATGAGAAGTTATTTTTACCCATGTGTTTTAGCATTTTAACCCATCTCTCACTGGTGGAAAATAAATATATGAAATACCTTAAGGGGAAGGACTTCTTTATTAATACTGTAGAAGTATGCCATTGCTTGTGTCCATGAACACAGACCTGCTACATTCCCACAAACTTTTTTAGCCGTCTCCAGATTATAATCTTCCATGTCTAAATAAGGCTGTAGCAGTTCCACAATCTCTCCTGTAATTGAATCCTATTTAATAAAAAATATATATATATTTATATATACACACACAAAACACAATACATCATTTTATCATGCATATAAAAGTAGAACCCATTGTAAAGCCAAAAAACTGTAATTAGAGGAGTTTATTTGCAAGAACTCTAAAGATAAAGTTAAATTATAAATTCAATTACATGATTGTGACCAATTAATTTTCAGGCAAACATGCAGTATGAACATATGATCCTTACCAAAATAATAATCACTTTACAGTGTGCATAATTATACTTATTTTAAAAACATGACTGTAAAATAATATTGTTCTTCAAAAAATGTTTTTTCTTAAAAAAGTGATTTACCATTATATGTGTATTAAATCACTTCACTTTTCAACTCCTTTTCCCATTTACATGGGGCAGGAGGTGCCCACAGTTCTTCGCAACTCCTGCCAGTCCATGGCACAGGTTCACAGGTCTTGGTGTTCCATTGTATTCTCTTCAAACTTCTCTTGACAGAGTCTTTCCATCGTATTTTCAGTCTTCCATGTCTTTTCTTGCTGCCCTCTTCCTCCCATTCTTTCTTTGCTGGTTTCTTCCATTCTTATCACATGTTTAGCCCACTTCAAGTATGCACTCTTCAGCCTGTCTATCACTGCGAGTCCCAAGTTCATCTTCCCCCTAATTTCTTCCAGGCACACTCTGTCTACCCCCTGCTTGTCTGCCATTCTCCTCAGTATATTATTTTCAACTATCTGTATCTCCTTTTCTTAGATCGCCATAAGACCCACCATTTCCAAATCACAGAGCAGGCAGGAACAAATACATGCAGCATACACTTTTCCTTTCAGTTTGATACTTAATTGCTGGCCCTCTTTTCAATTCTCCAGATCTCTCTCCAATTGCACTAAGTGTACTTCCCAAGCACACAAATTCATTCTTCTGCTTCTCTCCTGAAACCTACCAGCCTATATTAAATATCCCTCTTAATTATTAATCATTTATATTACTATTGCACCCAGAGTATTGTATTTGGGTTTATATTTCACTCGGTATTGGAATATGGTGCTCTACACTGTTTTTTTTCTTTTTTAAATCTAGGTTGTACCTACATAGGATTAAGTTAGTCAAAGTTTTGCTTGGGATCTGCTCTAGAAAGATGGTGGAGAATTTATATCCACATGACTTCAATAATTTAACACCAGTTTTAAAGAGATCGATTTATGTTCTTAATTTTCTTTTTGAACTTTCCCCTGTATTCAGTGCTCAGAGTGTGCTGAAAAAAATTAGCAACCTATCAGATTTTGCAGAGTAGGCTTGAATTTGAAAGCAGAACACAAACAATTGAAGCAAATTATTAAAGACGAGATCGCTTCTAGTTCAATATGGATGCACCAGGAGGAGGGAAGAATGCTTTTCGCACCTGTGCAGAGGCCAGCTACAATCTGACTGGGGAGCGAATGCATTCTTTTTGGCTGATGCAAGCCTCCCCAAAGGAGCAGGGAATGATGGGTGAGGGGAGGACTATGGCCACACCCACTTATCACACTTATTAGCAAACCTACCAGTGTTGAGGGAAGTGCAGGCTGCACCCTTTCATCCTTTTTAATGGGTAGTGGAGTTGCTTCTCCTCACAGTTTGCCAGAATTCCTCCTGCAGCCCCACTGCAACATGGCCCCATCTGTACCAACAAAGGGTTTAATCTTGAAAGCCCTACTTGGCTCTACACGGATTGCTGATAATACTGATGCTGATCCTAAATTTTAAAAGGCATTTGTTTCAACTTTCCATTTCATTATTTTAATCTAATTTTTTCTCACAAACTATAGAGAACATTAAAAGGCAAATCAATAAAGAAATGATGATTGTGGTCCTTATATAATTATTTAAATAATGGAAAAAACTGAAACTAACCCCTTAAACAATATAATATGTACTGGTAAGGCATATATGTGGGAGGCATGACTGTTTAATGGAGGAAGTATTAAATGTTTCAAACTTTATTTTACAGACAATTTATTAATATGCTTATTTTAATGAGTCTAAAAATCACCCTCCTATTCATAGCATCAAAGTAATAGATCTTTGTTCTGAAGGTACTTGACAGAAATGTCTGCCTTGCTCCTGACAGATCACTAGCTAATGTAATGGTTACAAAGACAGTCATGAAAATAGATGAAATTAGGTTTAGTTACATTATAATGAGGAAAGTTTGCTGAAATTTGGATGTTTGAAAAATATCTAGATTTTATTTCTTCCTATTCAATTTTTGGGTTTAGCAAACTAGCATAGGTGGAATAAGAACCAGTCTAAATCTCTATTTAGAGGTTTGAAACATGCAGTTAATAATTTTGCTTTTAAATAGATGCATGTCTAAAATCCATCCGGGACCTGAATTGACATTCCTGGCCCTGACAAAACCAGGCGATAAGGAAAATCTCTCAAAAAGTAAGATTTACATCAAATGGCTCAGATGTAGCATTGTAACCAATTCAAAAATCCAAACATTATGAGGTTTCCCCACCACTATATACACTAATGCAGAAATTCAGAGTAAGGAAAGAAGAAGGCAAGAAAATCACTTAATCAAAAATGGAAGATGTTTTCCAGTGTTTTTCATTCCATTTGCCAGTATCACTTACAACAAGAATTTAGACATTCTGATAGAAGTTGTTCTGGTTCCTTGGAGTAAAGTTAAATGCATTGAGAACTACCACTCGGAACATATATAGTATTAATAAGTGACGAACAGGACAACTCATTAGGAGTTTCAGTTGAGAGAGGAGTGCATAATCAGGCCTCATTGTCTTTAATCTCATTTTCTTCTTTTTTACTTTCAGTGATTATAGAGTTTGGGAAAGATACCAGATAAAGAGTCCTAGGTACTGACTGCCTACAGAGGTGTCAGGAATAAGGGCATGTAGCTGGGCCTGGGATCAACTGGCTAACTACAGCCCTGGTTAACCAGATCACTTGACTGACTGAGTGCCATTGCCAGGATTGCTGTTAAGACCAGCAGTAGCACTTGGACAGCAACTGCTCAATGCACTCACCCACAATTGTGATCTCTCTTGCATCTGCCTCGTTCCTGCCTTACTCCCAGCTCTGCTCCTGCCTTGTTTCCAGCCATGCTCCAGTCCCGCCTTCGCCCTGTCCCAGCCCTCTGACACGGTCTCTGGCCCTTGACTTGGCTTCTGGTTCTTGACTCTGGCTGTCACCGCCACTGTTCCAACCACTAGTCCTGACCGCCCTCCTCCTGGTCCATGACAAGATATGGCTGAACAGGTGCAGTTGAAGTTTCCTCATGCTGCCCTGCCGATATGCCTCAGGAGGGAGGGACCACCACTACTGAGGATGAAAGGAGAGTGGAGACTCCATGCACTACAAAAATTACCCATTATTGACAACAGGCATCAACCAAGTGTGCATCTGAAGCAGTGCTGAAATTAATTTAATTTGACATGCAGATAAGGATAAAGTGTAGTTAGCACCATTTCAGAAACCATGGTTAAAACCTGTCCAGGTCTACTAAGTCTGCAGTTGTGTCAGGATCCTGGCTCCCCTCAAATAGATTCTGTGATCCCCACAGCTCCAGGCCTGGCTCCACAGCATCTGGGTCTTCCCAGCTCCTTGAGGCAGTCCTTTCCCCAGACAGTCACTCCACCTGGCTTTTTACTTGTGTTCAACAGCATCTCAGGTTGAGGGTGAAACCTCAGAATCCAATTAAGCTCCTTGTAAAAAAGGGAAGATTTTCTGCCCAGACCCAGAGTAGTTGTGATTATCTTTCTTATATTCGACTTTCAGGCTTTTAATTTTTACTGTCATCAACTGCTTCTCTGGTTTACATTAAGCTCAAAACGTCACTCAGACATCCAGTTAAACACACGTTTTTTTCTCCCTTGCTGCTTCTAGATTTCCTCTTCACACTACAATCAGGACCCAAGTGTTGGCCTCTGGCCAGCTGGGCGCATACATATAAACTGTCTTCTTTGGGACATTGTTGTGAGATGAGAAAAAGCTGTTGCAGATCTGTTGCTAGTAGAAGTTGTCTTCCCTTGAAATAGCTCACATAGCAGAGCTCCATAGTGTGTGCAGAGATATTTCTGTGAGTAAGTTGCTTCCAGTCAAATTGACCTCTGTGCAGTGGAATGCAGAAAATCAAGTGCAGGCATCTGAGCAGTGATTGGTGCACTGCAGCACAATCATGGAAGGACAATGTGTGAATGATTTGTGCTAGGATGCCAGAAACCTCTATCCACATTGGCACTAAAATGGTTCAAAATGAAACAGTTAAGACTGAACCAGTTCCTATACTTGCTGAAAGCAAGTATAATCAGAATGGTTCCTTGAATACATGCAGACCATTTGGAACACTTTTGTTGTGGATGTGAAACATTTCACAAGCTTTTAGGATGACCAAGCAGTTCTTAGAATGGTAAATTTCTCTAGCGTAGACAAGACCTTACATGCATGTATGCAAACAGTTCTGGTAACATAATGATATGAATAGTAGGATGTTGTGGCCTGTTCCAAAAACAGTAGTCCAGATCCAGCTATCCTTACTCAAATTTCAATCCATTCTTTTTTAGGCAAAGTCCCATTAAAGAATAGGAGCTTGCCTGAGTAAGAACTGAATCAAACCAGAGTAAGGATTTCAGGATTTGACCACTGCTTGGGACATTTGTGCCTACCAGTGCAACCCCCTTGCTAGACTCCTGAGCCATCCATCTCTCTTCAGCAGAAAGGACTATAAAAATAATGATCAATGAAAAAGAAATGAGCTTACTTACATTACTGAATGTGAAAGCTATGAACTATAAAAAGCCCCAAACAGCTTTAATAAGGTCAATGTTTGAACTACAGCTACTATGAATTATACATAATATAAACACAAAGGGCATGCTCATGTGGATCTATAAGGGTGTTATGAGGAATGATGATGTAATTTAGTTGTTACCTTTTGGAAAGTAAGCAACATGCTGAGAAATCCTGAATTATTCATTAGCTTCAGAGCTTCATTCCATGATGGCTTCACACATGTTCGTTCTGGGTCAGCTGTCACAGAATCAATTTTTCTTTGGAACAGAAGTAGCACACAATCCATGATCCGCATTATCAAGTGAGGAGGTTTACCCAGTTTGCGAACAGTAGCAATGTCAACTGGTTTAATAGTCTGAAAAATTACAAAAGAAAATGACCCTCTTATTTAAGCATCTATCCTTTGCAAACTGAAGTGCATGAGAATTAATGACTGTCTCCATCAGGGACCAATGTCTCTTTGAATCCAACATAATGTAACTAAAATTCAAACTGTAGTGTATCTCTTTTAGCCTTTTACATAAAGGGCAAGACTGTGGCTTAGCCACTACCCATGATGGATAGTGGCGGTAATGATGAGGTGCTATACACTGGTGGCACCTCCCTGAAGTTCTGTGCCTCAGGTAGACACAACTGACTTGTTTTAAAGTTGTATCTGTAAAATGAGCACTGCAGCTGCAGTTTTGCAAGCAGTTCTGGTGTACCTGATTCTCCATAGTTTTAACTTCATAAATGTACAAGCAGGGGTGCTGGAACAATTTGTATAGAGGGGGTGCTGAGAGTCATTGAACCAAACTGTGAACCCTGTATATAATGGAAACCACTTCAAGCCAGCGGGTGCAGCAGCACCCCCAGCACCCTTAGTTCCAGCACCTATGTGCACAAGTGAAGATAAGACATCCTTTGTGCAAGGGGAGGAGCTAAATGAGTGGGCCTTGCAGCCGACAACCCTATTCCCTTCTGTCCATTCTCTTGTCTGCAGCAGTGGCTTTCTGGAGCATTGTAACCCCTGGATTAGTTAATCTTACCACATTTCAGATCAGTTCAGCAAAATGAAATATTCCAATTCAGGTCGAATGAAACTAAACATTTTAATTTTCCAGGTGGAAAATCAAATATTTTTTACCAAAAATTTTGATTTTTGCAGAAACTGCATTTTCCATCAGCAAATCATTCCGGAGGAAAGTTCCCAACCAGCTCTTGTCCTGAGTGACTTTTACATGCTGAACCTACACAAACACGCTGCTGCTGCCTGTGGGCAACTCTCTGTGATGAAAGAAAAGGAGTACTTGTGGCACCTTAGAGACTAACCAATTTATTGGAGCATAAGCTTTCGTGAGCTACAGCTCACTTCATTGGATGCATGAGTCATCCCTGAGCCTGAGCTGGTGAGTCATCAGAGGCAACTGCCTGCAGGGCCTATGACAGGGGCAAGCCAATCAACAAAGGCCCAGCCAATCCACAAGCAGGTATAAAAGTTCCTAATGGAAGCAGACACTCCAGTCTCCTCAATGTTGCTATCTTGCTGGGAGATTCTCCACTACCTGGTAGTTCTGACAGACTCCTCCAGATGCAGCTTGCTCCTGCCCCAGTTTGTGCCTGTTCCTGCCCCTGCTCCAGCCTTAGCCAACCCCTCGGCTATCTGACACTCTCCCTGCCATACACACAGGAAAACAGATTGCTATTTCCACGGACTATATGCCAGGCATCAATCTTATACAAAATGAGAATACAGGATAGGGAATATGAAAAGAGACACGTCTCACCAGGGAACGTCAGTTGAGTGTAGACAAGAAGAATGGCACTCCCAGGACTCGTTATTGAGCAGGGTCCCTGTACACCAGCTTTGCACTTGTGATAAAAGCAGACTTGTGGCTACTCTAGATTACACCCACCACTTATACCTGCTTTATCTAGACACTAGCCAGAGAATCAGTGCAGTGTACATTTTTGCACATTATATCCCTTTGTGGCTACCTGCCTCCCTTTTTGAGTTTATACCTCAGCACACAGAGGCAGCCAGTGCAACTGTCACTGCACCTACTTTGTACAGAAGGAGAATCACTTCAGAAGCGTAGAATGGGTACGACTCACTTTACATTGACTCAGCAGCCTACACATAGCGCAACACATTGAAGATATAGCCAAAGTGTGCTGAGGGAATGCACACAAAAGCAGCATTTTCTACACTGTGCACTCTCCCCTGGAGCCCACCTCTGCTGCCTGATTGTGGGAGAAGCATTGCCCACCTTTACTTCTCTGCTCCCTTCCCCAGCCTTTAGGATTTCTGCACAGGGGTTAGCAGTCCAGTGCCAGAGCCCTCTGGACGTTGCCAGTCAGAAGAACAAAACTGAGATTGCAACTGGCCTCTGCTTAGGAGTGAAAGATGAGAAAACAGCCTTTTAAATCTCACCCAGGGCACCTTTGCCAAGCTAGGTTCAATCTAACCCAAAGGGTAGTATGTGATTGTGTTTAGTGTAAGGTGTCCGGATGATTCAACTGCAGTCTCTGGACCTTGTATCTCACTCACAATTAATATGGCAACTGGAACCTGTCCGTTTATGCATTTTCAGCATTCTGATTTGCCTTGCTGAAGATGGACAAACAGAATTAAATGCTCTAGGTTCCACATATAATGATCATTACGCTCATTATCCGTATGCGTTGTCATGGGATCAATTCAATTCTAACCTGCAGTGCTGCCTCTGCTTCCTCCAGTGCAGGCCTTGCAGCTTCAAGCTTCTCCTCAGCCGCTGCTTTATCAATGGCAATTTCATCTACAATGGCATGGGCTTTATCTTTCACCTTTTGGACCTGCATTTTCACCTTTTCAGCAGCTTGGGCTTTCATAGTCACGTCCAGTAAAACGCCATCAGCTCTTTTAGAAGCAACAGCCAAGTCTCTCTCTTTCACTGCCAGTTCTTTGGACAGCTGGTTTACTGAAATCTCAGCTTCCATGAGTTTTGCAAGACCTGTTTCAATCAAATTATGACAGTATATTTATGCATCAGGAAAAAGTGAGATGTAAGCCTAAATGTTCAAACTTCGGTGCCTACAACCAGTCATCCAAATCCATATTTAGGAACCTGAGTAAGTGACCTGAAATCTGATCTCACTTATTGTAAACCTGTTTTACACCTGTATAAATTCATTTATTTCCCTAGAGTTACCTCTGATTTTCACTGGAGTAAGGGACATCAGAATCATGCTCCAGGGTCACTTACTCAGGTTCCTAAATATGGATTTGGATGACTAATTTTAAATATTTATTTTCTTTTTATGCATGTTTTTAATTCCTTAAATCTATCAGACCACATTGCATAATGGTACTCATTCAGGCTAACAGCCATTTAATTTAATATTAGCACAGAAATATGAAGCGAGATTTTCAAACATTGCTAAAATTTAGTATTGTGATGTGCAGTTTTATAAACTTCATACGACCTGACAGGCACTTTATAAATCCATTAGACACAAGGAGAAACAGGAACTCATTAGATTGCTCCTAACCTCCATAGAACAGGGCAAAGCAGAGAGGCCTGGAGACTTGTGGAGCTCAGGAGATGCAGCGGACCATGTTGAGCTCCTAAGCTCAGCATTACATGGAAATCTGGGGAGGTGGGGGCAGCTAGAGACAGACAGTATGCTCCTGAGCTCTGGACTGGCTCCACATTTTTAACAAACAATGAGAGAAACAGACACAAAAAAATCACGTGTAAAAAAAACTCACAAATAAACCATTACTTTGCATACTCTCCAAACAAGGATAACTCTGCATTTGTGTAGCCATCCACCGGCCATCTATAGGGGTATCAGAGTAACAGCCATGTTAGTCGGTATTCGCAAAAAGAAAAGGAGTACTTGTGGCACCTTAGAGACTAACCAATTTATTTGAGCATAAGCTTTCGTGAGCTACAGCTCACTTCATCGGATGCATGCTGTGGAAAGTGTAGAAGATCTTATTATATACACACAAAAAGCATGAAAAAATACCTCCTCCCACCCCACTCTCCTGCTGGTAATAGCTTATCTAAAGTGATCACTCTCCTTACAATGTGTATGATAATCAAGTTGGGCCATTTCCAGCACAAATCCAGGTTTTCTCACCCCCCCCACACACACACAAACTCACTCTTCTGCTGGTAATAGCTTATCTAAAGTGTTTCCACAGTATGCATCCGATGAAGCGAGCTGTAGCTCACGAAAGCTTATGCTCAAATAAATTGGTTAGTCTCTAAGGTGCCACAAGTACTCCTTTTCTTTTTACAAATACAGATTTACACGGCTGTTACTCTGAAACCTTTGGATGATTATTTGTGAGAGTTTGTAGTCCATATTGGAAATGACTATGGAGGTAGAATGGATAGGTGCAGATTTTTAGGATGAATGCTGATCAGGAACTCTGGGAACAGTTAAGCTTGGTTTTGGAAATTTTACCTGGGTATATTTATTTAACAGACTATTAATTGTGAATGTATTTGAATATTTACCTACTTTCCTTTGGTTGTTAATTTCAATACTTTTAAATGCATAATCTGTTTTGGGGGTTTTTTAGCAGTACCATTTCTTGGAATACATCCACAGTAGCAGTTTTAACTTAAAGCGAACAAAGGGTTTTTTATCTGTTAATTAATATCAATTTACAATTCACTTGTAGTCTACAAAACATACAAAGTTAATGAAGCGAAAATTTCAAGTGTTTTGTAAGCACACTGTACAATATAACTGAAAACCAATTATGGTAGCTGCCTAGCTAATCGAAATGAGCTCAATTCATTTAAATCTATACAAACAGGATAATTTTTTGAAATGCTGTGACTCAGATTCTTTGTATAAAAGAGTAACTATTAATGGTATACTACCGTTCCATAAAATGTTAACTTTGCAACGTAGGTTTTAATGGTATCAAAACCATTAATTCCCCATCCAGTACAAAAGAGTTTTAGAAATAATAATGGTCTCTGACATGTTCAGCATTTTGAGAGATCTAAAGGATATGTCAAGCTGTGCAAGATCTAAGAGTGGAATGTTATATACAATTCACTTTGGACCAATTCTGGTCCCACTCCATTTTTTATCCACAGCAATGGGAGCAGGATTGGAAACTTACACTGATCTACCCTATAGGGTGAAATCTTGCCCACACCCACAACCGCAGACAAGCCAAAATGGAACAGAACCACCAGGAAGCACAAAGGGTAGTAGGAGTGAGCAAAATGGAAGCGCTGGGGGCTTCTCCAGACCCTCTTTCCCAAGCTTTGCATCATTCACTGACTCCTCCTCCATCCTTCTGCCTTCCATGTCCCCTTTCTCATCACCTCAGCTCTCATATTCTTATGTCCTCCCTGACCATCAAAAATCTTCCTTATACCCCAAAAAAGCATTGCTACTTATTACATTTAAAAAGTAAGTATGTGAACTTTAGAGTTGTACATAAAACAAATTCTTGTACCACAAAGGAATAATTACACACACACACACACACACACACACACACTATAAAATGGAGGCACCAGTTGTGACTCTGGACTCTATAGTTAAGGATGAGTTGACTTTTGCATTTAGAGCAGGAATGCAACCTCTTTATTCTTATATCTATTATACAGTGTATATACATATCTCTTTCTAAAAAAAAGTATATTGTACCTGTTTTCATGCGGTCAGACAAATTTCCCACACCAGCAAATTTCTCTCTGTAGATGGTTTTGTAGCCACTGATGAATGACAGATAAGACTTTGGAGTCACAAACGTTCGACGCCTGTATCGTTCGAAGTACTCAACACATTGTTCAGCTACAAGATCTTGAAACGTTCCCATAGCATTAACAACGCTTTGTTTTACTCCATCTGTGCATTCAATTTTGTAGGAAGCTAAAAAATGCTGTGCAACAGCTACTAGAGCATCTTTAGGCCAGGGCTGGAGCCAGTCCATAGTACATCCTGAAATCAAACCCGGAAACTTCAGTGCGCGAGTTCTGAATTTTTCCCCGACAGGCGAAAAACAAAGAACCACATGCAAATTGTTGCGAACTCGAGTAAGAAAATAGTCATAGAGATTTTCACTACTAGGAGAACGTCTTGGGTACTCTTTCTTCATCACAGATATCAGGTCTTGTGTAATTTCATCTATTTCATCTCGTGCAAAAAGACTGGAAACCTCACCTGAAGCCAAAACATTGTTCATGTACTCAAGAAAAGACTCATCTCTGATTTCATTGTCTGTGAATATAAAGGTAATACCCTGTCCTTTCTGTCCAGCGGTGCGATACAGAATTTTCAGATCATCCATAAGGTTATTAATGCCATACGTTCTAAGATAGGGAAGGGTTAAAGATGGACAAAACAAAATAAATAGATCATTTCAGGAAACAATTTAATATTTTCTGGCTCAATCTAGTTAGGTAAAAATGTATAAATATGAAATTCATTTACAATATCTCATTTCACAAACACAATCTATTGCATTATGTTAGGTTCTCTTACACCATTTGGACAAATTCAGCACTGGCAAAAACTGGGGCAACTTCGCTGAAATTAATGGGGTTGCCTCCTTTAATAGGGTGGAAAGACTAAGACCCTGTCTAGGAATGTGGGACTGCATTGATGAGTCACTAAGACTCAGGTGCTAAAGTTCTTCATTAAGATTCAAGGTAACTACTGCTGAGTCACACTGGAGAATGGGTCCAATTACTTCTAACCAAGACATAAAGAATGTGGGATTGTCTTTTAGGGCAACTGAGAGTTAGAACTGAGAGGATCCTTAAAGGAAAGCCCTAGGAACATCCAAGCTTAAGGTGGAATCTTAGGCTGAGGTTTATGTTGTGTTATTCATTTTGAGTTAACAATTATGCCAAACTCCAAAAAGGGATGAGTCTGGACACTAGCTCAGGGTCTATGTGCTCTGTTGACAACAGAGGAGGGACTCAGCTTGTTCACACATCAAATATGTAAAACTGTGGTCCATACGAAGCCAACAGTCATTTTGCTATTGATTTCAGATGGCTCAATATCAGGTCAATAGTTCATAAACTGGTCTTTTTATCCATTGTATCTTTAACCAATGGAAGTTGAAATTAATATTTTCCCCTTTCCTTTATCAGTTCATCTTTGAAATGAACATTTGGTTTCTAATGTGCCTTCTAAAACTAATAAATAATACTTGTAATATCCACATAACTAATTCTAAAGCACTTCATAACAAACCTCTGAGTCAAGGTTAAATCAATTACCCAGCAAACATTTCTAAGTTCTGTTGCAGTTCCTTCACAATATTAACATTGCCCTGTAGCTACTGCCAGTTCTGCCACTGCGGGGCACCTGAAGCAATCCATCCGTTTAGTCTACACTTAGTGACTATAGTTATTACAGTAATTTGTATTATACTGATCACCACAACATTTATCCATTCCTGAAAGTTTATGAAATATTTTTTTCATCACATGGATTTGAATGGAATCCTACAGATATAGAGCTAAATTCTGTGCTGTCCTGAACCTAATTCTGTGCTGCCTTGAACCTGTTTCTCTGCTTTCTCTCTTTCTTTTAGCCGATCTCTCTCCTGCTGTCTGTTTCTTTTCTACCTCTCTGAAAGGTTAGAGGGGCTTGACATGTCTTTTTTCCCTTTCCCTTGGGTACAGCTCCAAGTTGCAAGATTTTCAGTTGCACGATTTTCACTCGAAGTGTTTATTTACAAGTGATACTGCACAGAGAGACCTAATGAAGTATTCAGTCTGGTCATTTTAAAGTGAGAGATTTTTGAAGCAGGATTTAAATAGGATTTTATAGGGGAACACTGTGGGCCAGAATCACTTAAAGGAAGAAGAAAGGCTTTCTGCCAAAAGTTTTTACTGTATCTCCGTGTATTATTAAGGCAGCAGAACAGCCACCCAGTTCTGCCATCTGCCAAATGTGCATCTCAACGTGCACTTTTGGCTGAAAAATGTAGTTTACAATTCAGGCTGAAATGCTTGAAAGGCTTTGTACTATTTGAAATTAATTGTAAATGGTTAATTTACATAGCAGATTAAGGAACCAATATATTAACGTCTGTGTTTATTGCATTGTGTTACCTTGTTAGAGTAATCTGAAAGCTCTGATATCCAGCAATATATGATGCTAATCTGGTCAGGCTCTGTTTTCCAGATCCACCCACACCAACCAACAAGGCATTTCCCTGCGGAGTACGGATAATTCGGGATATTTTAACCAAATGGATCATTGCATCCTGCATAAAGAAAACATTGTTAAAATGATGTAAAGACAAAAAAAAATATTGTCTATCATCTTCATGTAGAAACTCATCAGTTAGTGACTGCCTTCATTTGGAGCCAGATCCTCACCTGATGTCCACTCAGGGACCAATCCAATGCCCTATGAAATCAATGGAAAGGCTCCCATTTACTTCAATGGGCAGTAGATCTGGCCCTGAAAGAGCATCCCTATTTCATGCTCACCCAAGAGCATGTGATATGCAGTGCCTGCTCTCAGGGGACCTAAGGGTACCTGTGACTCTGAGGGTAGAGGAGGGGCAGGGAGGAAGCCTACTGAGGCTCCTAAAAACTGGTCTCTGAGGAGAAATATTTACAACCTCTCTAAACAGCAGTTTGTCTAATTAGGAAAAGTAGAAGAGCAGTAGTGTTTGTGTTCTATTAACCATATTATTTATGCCCTAAACGGTGACAGCAATACATAAAACAAGCCTTTCTGTTAATCCGATCACACTTGAATTCAGTTCAAAACCATGCACTCAGCCCCAGGGAACAGGCCCATCCCTTGCAGTGGACATGACAAAGAACAGGATGGTGTCAGTATGATGAGCTGATACAATCAAAAACTGGTCTGTAAGTCCACCACACCCAGACAGCAAGAAGTGTCTGTGAAGAAAAAGGGGTCAAGGGATCTTTTAGGAGGGGGTAGCCTTGATGGGTAGGAGGGTGGGGAAAATTAGTGAGGAGAAAATTAGTGAGGAGACGCTCTCAGTGCATGCAACAAGCTTTTGCTTTGGAGTTTCAGGGCAAGAAGAAGGAAAAGACTGGGAGCTGGAAAGTGACTGAATAACTGGTGTGAACAGAGGCAGCAGCCTGGTGGCATAAAGAGCATCCTCTATGGCTCATTTGTAAGAGATACAGGAGTTCCTCACAGAACATAGAATTGGCAGGTTTGGTCAAACTTCAATGACAATCTTGGCAGGACCATATAAAATCCATGCATCATTAAATAAAGAGAAATCTACACAGGAAGGGCTGTATATTGGGGCACTTTCAATAATAACTATTTTTACTGTCAATCAGAGAAATAAATACCTTGAATAATACTAAGTCCATATGTGTTCCTCTGATGGTTTCATTGTACTGCTGCATGAACATCTGTAATCTTTCAGCCAAGTTATCAAAGGAAGGAATAGACTCATACATTTTAGGAGCTTCTAGCTCTATCTCATCAGGTTCATCCCCAGTGGCCTCTGGGGCATCACGCAAAAAATCCACAAAGTATAATTCTTTGTGGTCATTTCCTAGTAAGTCTTGACCATGATCCTCAGAAGCAATCTACAAGAAAATGTTGTATATTACCATCATCAATTATGTTTTTGGTAAGCCTCCTTCAAAGTGAATACTGAACATTATTCATCTTACCTTTCTTATCATATCTTCAAACCAGCCTTTGTCATTTTGGTTGATGAACCTATCTGCAATAACACGACTGCATTCATGCTGGAAGAGAGCAGCCAAAACACTGGTGTTCTGGCAGACTTCAGCGGAAACTGTAAGAATTCCTTGCCAAATACGACTGAGATCTCGTAAATTAAAGATGTAATGAAATTTAGCTGGAGTTGGTAACATCTATAAAAGAATGTTAGATCCATTTTCAAGTAACTACTTAAGAAGCACTGAAATAGTTCTTTCATAATTATCCACGTGGTATTAAATGAACACTGCATTTTTTAAATCAACTTCAAAATTAATTTTGCACTAAAGACAGAAATTAATTCATGATATTTAGAACACAGTTAACATATGAAAGTAAAACAAGATTAGGATGATGATCAGCTCATAAATTACTTGTATGTGGGATATCAACTTCTCCAGAAATCTTCAAAGCCACAGTAACAAGGAATGAAGGGCAGTAAGGACAGTTCAGCCAACCATGGAATGAAAGGCCTCACTAAAAACAGCTGCAATTCTTGGCCCCTCGATCCTCTCCTCCCTCTTCCCCGATTTTGTCTCCCTCTTTTTGTTCTTTTTGAGAACATTTGTCTTGTTCACAAGCATGAGTACAAGGAGATGAAGGGAAATGCGGGGGGGGGGAGGGGAAGAAGAGGAAGGAAATAAGGAAGGATAGGGAGGAGGAAAAAGAGCATGGAGGAAGATGAAGAGTGAGAGGAGTTCTTTAAACAAAAAACTTTAAAAGCAAAGTAGCCCCTTTTCCTCTTCTTCCAAAGACAGCTGAGGTAATGGATATCTTTAGCCTTTATATTTAGCAAATTTGGAGTTCTAATAGTTCACAAACACACTTTTTTTTCTCCTGGGGCACAGTTCCCTTTGTGGAGAGTGGGGTAAATAGTGGGGGAAAGTATTTACAAATGTTTTATCCCAATTCAGAGACATGCCCCCCTTATTTTGCTTGCGTCTCACGAGCATTCATATGAGTGAAATTTTATTCAAATGAATGTTCACAAGAAGCAAATTTCAAGCTATTAACCAATATTATTTGAATTAGAAAATGAAATTAGTTTTGTGATTCATTAAATTAATTCAGGTGGAAGTGGAGTAGTTCATGACAATTTGGTCAGCCAATCAACGAGCAAAATAAATGTCATATGACTTTGGTGATCAGTCACAGATCTCAAATATCCTGATCATCAAATAATTGACTGACTACTCAATGCAAACAGATCACCAGTGATTCAAGATGTTTGTAGAATCTATGTGTTAAGCAATTTTGAACAATGAATAAACGTGTAAAAAATACAATTTCTTCTTAGACAATTCACTGACAGAAAAAAGGCCTATATTTGTTGAATAAATTGTTCACTATAAAAAGTTTGACTAGCTGTTCCTCTGCGTCTCTGCTGAGGCCCATATAATATGCACAGTTCCTTATCCCCTTTCCATACCCCTATTCTCCAGGCCTCAAGTCATGGTCACAATCCTACTGACCAAGGAAGTTTATGACAGCTAGAGTTGGCTGTGAATACCTGTTCAAATTCAAAAACAATCTGTGATTCAACTGGGTTTGTGGCCTTTTCATATTTAATATCTATGAATATTTGAGCACTCAAGCTTTATTAGCATAAAAACTTGAGAAAAATATTTTAAATTTTAGCATTTGCCAGAAATGAATTTTAAATTGCATTCTATATTGTAAATCTGCCATTCCCACTGTGTGTGTTAGTTAAACTCATCATCCAGGCAAGGGACAGAAATGCCATCATGTGATGTAAGCAGCTAGCCAGCACAGCATGGATATTGCATATTCACCATGAATCATTTGCAAACAATCTGCAAACCAAAAATTATTTGCTGAAGAAATTCAAATAAATTCAAAAATTTCATAATTCATGTACAGAAAAGAGGCAAAATTTGTATGATAAGTTATTCATTGTTGATTACTTGCTCAGTTCTCCTATCATTATCTCAGAAATGCATATAAAAATACAATTTGATTACAGCTAGACTGATGGCAAGTTATGACTATTGCTTGTGATCAGCTAAGAATTACGGAGACTATTATTTTTTGTTACTCTGTTCCCACATCCCAATATTTGTCCCGCTTCTTTATTTCTTCCACCTGCAATTTTTTGTTATTTAGAGTGTAAGCTACCTGGCGCAGGGACTTGTATTTAATAGATGTTTGTGCACTGCCTGGTACAATGGGGGCCCACCTGCATGGCTTCCAGGAGCTACCACTAATAGCATAAAATAACAAAATAATAATATCATCCCATCAGAATCATTGTCACCATCACATTTTCTGACAGACAATAGATTCTGTGGATACTGATTATCATTACAGCAGAAATTCCACAGGTACTGTGCTATAGTAAAAAAAGACACAATTCTCCCACCTTTTCATTTTATGGTGCAAATATAGGCTTGTTAACAAAAGTCACATTCGTTTTACCTTTACTTTAGTTGCTTGCCAGACTTTTCGAGTTGTAGGTACTAATGCTGATGCCAGTTTACATATTTTGTCTGGGAAGCCTCTCTGCACACAGAAATAGCCTTCAGCTACTGTTCTAAATATTTTGTCAATAGACGAATTGGAAGGTAGGGTGCAGTTATAAACACTAAATTGACGCTTGAGGCGCTGAGGAATGTCATTCCGACCTCCTCCAGGGTGAATCATGGCAGCTACAAACTGGATGTCAACAACATTAGTGAATTCTCCTGGCTTTTCCAAATTGTAGAAACCTTTCTGCTCCATCAGCTGCCTTACAATCTCATTGGTGATCTTACAGAAACATAAAGAGAATAATCAGGTATTATTTCTTGACAGTTCATCTGAATCCAAATCTCCTGCACAATAAATGAGCAAGCAAAAGAAAAAGGCACAGTACTTTGCAGTGAATCATGTTGTTTACAGAATACCATTCAGGAAAGCAACAAAAGAAAACAAATAAGTTATTCCAAATATTCTGGTCCGTTTGGCAGATGTAACTGATTACTTGTCCAGGAATTTTCAAAGCTATCTAGTAACCTCACTTATCTTTTAGAACATTAACTAGCACCTACTGTTCTTCCAAGCACCTCAGAAATGTTTATACAGGATGGTAAGTGGGACCAGCAGCTGCAGGTGCACAGGGTTGGCTGCATAGAATGGTATGTATTGTAGTCATAGTCAGGTGACCAATTGGGTTTGTCACAATGCAAGAGGGTACTGGGGACCAGGGAGAAGGAAGGTGCCTAGGAAAACTTACGCACCTCAATGTTAGGCATGGTGAGGTGCCACCCAACTCATGAGGTGCAGGTGGGTAGAGAATCAGCCTGCAGCCATATACTAGAGACATCAGGGTGGCCAGGAAGCCCAAGAAGGGACAGAGAGACACACACACACATTCATACAGTGACTGGAACAGACACTTGATGAGTGAGTGGAAGTGGTTACTTCAGCAGCGGGGATGGTTATATAGGGGCTTTGGAAAGTGAGAGAGACAGGTTTCGGGGGCTGGATGGAAGGAGAGGGGGAGACATGATAGAACATGGGCTTTGGATGGGAATGAGAAGGCTAAGGAGTAGTCCATGATGAATAACCTCTACTTCCAGAGGGAAAGAAAGCAGGAAACTGAGAAAAGCCTAACTTTCCAAACCAGGTCTACAAGGCTTGCAGGACCAGGCTGGGGTTCACAGTGCTACAGATTCGGAGGTACAGGCTCAGCAAGGATGCCTGCTGGCCCAATGTATGAGTGATTAAATTGAAGACAGACTTTCAGAAAGGGCAGGTATATAAAATATTCATTTATTAATTTTTGAAAACTCATGTGAATACCTAGGCACCTAAATACCTGTCTAAGCTATCGTGTTGGAATCCAGCTAGTGGTAACTGTGCTTTAAAGTCTGGATTGATCAAGAAGGAAAGATGCTTTGACTGCTTCCTGGATTCTCATGCTCCCTTTTCCTACCTAGATAAGCATAGTTGTTTCAGTAGAAAATAGAAACTACTGCTTTACTTCCCATTGCTCTCAGTACAGCCAGTTCATAAACACCACAAGTACTACAAGTAACTGGGATGAAAGGTCTAAAAGCTACAATGGTTATCAAATAGCTTAATGCTAATTCTGACCACTTTATTCTGACAATTTCTCATCAATTATGAGGAAAAATAGCACAGAGGTATTTATAATCCAATAGATCACAGGGATATGTCATCCTATGCTATTTGCCCATCTAGTATTCATCACTTTTGCTATGCCTGGTTCTCCACAACCATCAGTAGTAATGGTAGGAACGCTGGAATTGACAGTGCTCTGGTTGCCCATTTAAACTCTGTGTTATCTAAATGCTGTTCAGAACAAGTCTACAGATACAGCCTATAAAACACTGTTGGCCCCTGGTACCATTGCTACAAATGGTGGGGAATTTTAGGCAAAATGCCCCATTGTTGACATGGCCTAGTATTCATTGCAAACACACCCAGCAAAAAATATGGATTTTCAGTTCTCCTTAAAATATTTACAAAGTCTTAAAAACACCACTGTATCAAGTTGGCTTCTCCTTTATGTACACATGAAGCATCTGCATTCACTCATTACTTAATGCTAACATTTTTTCACCTGATCACCCCATTCATTAATCACAGGCATGTTGATGTCATCAATAAATATGGTCATTTTCTTTCCAGCTGGAGGACCGTAGGTAGTGCCCATTCTTTTATCTATGTAGCTTTCCATACTCCTTTGGAACATATTTGGCAGAGTGGCAGAAGAGAAGTTTAAGCGCTTTGTCAGGTGAAGTTCAGGATCATATTTGCTGGTATAACCCTATAAAATAAACATATGTTTTATGTAATTCAGAACTGCAGAGCACCCACAATTCTAGGTGAAGTCAATGAGAGACACTAAGCTCAGCCCATCTGAAAAATCAGACATAAGGTATCTCAAGTTGGGCACCCATGGACAGAAGCAACCAAAATTACTGTCAACTTTTAAGAATCCTGGACTTACTATTTAGTTTAAAATATTAACAGAAGTTTATTTAAAACAAACATTATGAGCCTATAACCTGAAATTCAAAAAAACTCTTAATCAATATATAGTATTAAAGTTTACAGGGTTTAACAGATGTCTTCAATTGTTGCCACTGTTGACATAATGCAAATAAATCTTAAACTTGTTTTTTTCTGAAGGTAAAGGGGCACTTTTGTAAATGAGAAACAGGCACATCAAAGGGACTGATATTTCTCTTTCCCTGATAATACAGAGAATCTTTGTGATTGTCTGAAAGCTTTTTACCTACAAAGACCTGGGTTCACACTCGTATTATTCCTGCTATTGTTGATGATAACCTTAAGCAGTCAAGGGGGTTCAACTCTCTGCACTGCTTTAGGTATTTGTAACATCACCAACTGTACCAAAGGCGAAATCCACAAACCCTGAATTTAAGTGAAGTCAAGGCAGGTACATTAAGGAGGAAACTGTTTTCTGATATTTTGTTTAACAGGATAAGTCGCTACATGTGCTGCATTAAAAACCTGGGATTTTCAATTGTGTTTTTAACTGAACAGTTTTAAAAGATTCACTTTGCCTATAAGGATGAAAATACCAAACATAATTTAAATTCTTAAATTTATAACAGAGTTGAATGGAAATTCTCCAATTTCAGAACCTCAGAACAAAGAATATTTAGAGCTCTGCATTACTCTTAGTCAGATTTTATAACTATCTGATCAACAGCAGATCTAGTGGGGTACTTCAGAAAAGAAAATCAGCTACATCAGAAAGGAAAATATTTTCCATCCCCAAAAAGATATTTTGATGAACAACATTAGGATCTCGATTTTGCTGACTGCCCAAAACCAGAATCTCCCTTTCAGAAGTGCTGCCTTTTAGAAGCACTTTTTCTGAAGAAGACACAAAAAGATGATGTTCCTCGAACACCATAGTTGGGTATTTGAAGAACACCACAGGCAGCTGGTTAACTGGAGCGTTTCACTGCCCATCCCTCTCCTTATGGTATTAATAATAGCCTGTGTAACATTACAAATGCAAGAACAATTCAAAAGAAATCCTGTCTCATTTTTTTTAGTACAAACTTTACATGGTGAGAATAATTACAGCTCAAATAATTAATGCTCATATATATATGGAATAAATAGTTTTGACTTAAATGGGTCTTCGGAGATCTCCTGTTGCAGAAGTCATGTTGCTGAAAATCATTTCTGACATCTGTAGGACAGGAACTCTCAATGTCAAGATTATTAACCGGATTCTGGGCCTGGTTCTCCACTCTACTACACCAGTGTAAATAAGGCTTTCTACTCTTAGAAGAGTAGAACTCCCAACAACTACTACTATAATAAAGGTTGTAAACCAGCCTCCATTATAACCATCACCATGTATTCACACACAAAGCTTTTCCAAATTTTCAGTTAAACTCCTGAAATTTTCCATTTCAAAAAGGTGCTTGGGGATTTTTGTTTTGTTTTTTTATGAAAGCAGTTGCACATATCTGGCAATTCCTGAACACAAGGAATTCCTTTCTATAAAGTGCAGGTAATGAGCAGGGCCAGCTCTACAGTTTTTGCCGCCCCACGCAGTGAAAAAACTGCCGCTGCAGACGGCAAAAGGAAGAAGCTGCCCCCCACTTGCCGCCGTGGTGGGCGGGACAGAGGAGCTGCTGCCAAATTGCCGCCGCGGCCGGAGGAACTGTCGCCACTTTCCAACTGCCGCCCCAAGCACCTGCTTGGAATGCTGGTGCCTGGAGCCGGCCCTGGTAACGAGTAAAGTAAAGGAGGAGGAGGAGGATCACTTGGAGAGGCAGTTTGCTATAATCCTTAATATGAAATGAGACTGAATGGATCTTGGTGCTTTTTAAAATTATGCCTCCCTCTGTGAAGGGATATTCTTTTTCTGTTTAGAATAGATAGGAGGTAAGTCACTCCTTGGAATAAGTTCTAAGTATTTTTAGGGAGGGGAGAGGCAGCTGAAGGCTGGAGATAGTTAGCATCTGGCTGAATTCCAGTATGTAGGCTATCAGGACCAACATCCATACCACTCCCCTTCATGCAGCTAAAAGAGTTTTCCCAGCTGGTGCCAGGAACAGAAGTTGATATTATATTGGCACGCATGGAGGCACCAACAGCTGAACTGAAAAAGTAGTATTAATTGCTACTGGTGTCAGTACAAACCACTTGAAGATGGGTCTTAAAATTCACATTCCAGGGGAAGCAGATTATCTAGAGGGTGCGCTGGTGTTTAATCTATAATTTGGGAGTAGATCTTTTCTTCTAGTCTTTGGGTTCTTATATAGTAAGCTATTAAATTTTGTACCTGGACCATGAGACTAACTAGGGGCATTTTATAAATGAAAAAAAAAAACACGCATTGAGTACTTTAAGAGTAATTCTTGTAGCATTCCCCCTGTGGAGAAAAGTACAATAAGTAGTTTTCTATTAGCCAATGAAGAGGGCAGATAAGAACTATTAGACTTGGCCTCTGAAAAATCTCCAAGTGAAGAAAGAAGTTTTTATTTCTGTCCTTCTTAGCTTCTGAAAAAGTCTTTGCAATGTGGACAAATAGTGTTGGGATAAAGGATCAAAAGGACAGTACATGCATATGTCACAGAAAGAGCATGGAGAGAAACATAAGAAATGCTACAGCCAGAGGCAGTGTGTTAGCAAGCTCTCTAATCTAGCTTCTCATGAAAAATCTGGAGACAGCACCTGAAAAAAGGTGACTTGCCTAACAATTATGTCATGGTCCTATGATCATCACTAGCAAAATGATAAATAGCTATTATGTATCCTTTTCTGAACTACAATGTGTGTGTATTGGGCAAAATGTCTCAATGGGAATTGCTGTAATTTAATGTGGTGGGCATTTAATCATATTTTCTAACCTGCCCATTTCAGTGTAACACATGCGCTCAGGTCAATTATTTTTGTACCAGTGCTGTACTCTGAAGATGGGAAGATTTTTTTTCTGTTCTATGTACCTTAACCATAACTGTTTTTGCTGTTCCCTGCTCTCCAATAAGTAGAACTGCTTTCCCCTGCTTCATGATAGTGTCCATTAGAAAATCTGTTCGGACATTGTCTACATTTGGAACTAGGATGGAAGTATATTCTGGCACTGACTCTTTAGGATAAACATATTCAGGTACCTGAAATAGAAATAATATAAACAATAGGTTAGACATTTTCTTCAGAACCATAAGGGCACTGCATGTGAACACAAAACCAATACACTATTTCAAAAGTATTTTTTCTTGAAAGCAGAGTGTTCGCTAGCATTTAGTCAGTAGGCTGCCCTGCTTTCCTGAATGGGGTGTAAGACTAATGGAGTATTTTCACTGCCCCCAGCCCGATTATCCATTTTATAGACTATTTTGGTCTTTGCTGGGGGAACTTAATTATATTATGGTGACAGGCACTGGAGAAAGCTAAGACAGGATTTTTTTTTCCTGTTTCATTCCCAAACTATTTCCATTGTCTGTTCTCAATCTCTGACCCAAAATACTTGTGGTGAGAGAAAAATTCCTTCAAAAAAAGAATCTTATGGTCATTTATTAGGCATAATTTTCCAAACTAAATTACAAGTTTTAGTGAGTAAAAAACAATGTTTTTCTTGTCAAATATATTTATCAGGCTTACTCAAAAGAATGAACTAGTATATTACTGCATACCAACCCTCTTTGACCAGTGCTCCCACTGACCACAATCACTAATACCAAACTCAAACATGGTTTCCTCTCCATTCACGGCTGGGAGTTCCAGCGTTGTAGAATGATTCTGTAAGAACAGTTCCATTTTCACTCTGTCATCCAATTCCAGAAGAGCTCCTACTGACCACATTATAGCAAAAACAAACAAGCGAGCTAGATGCTCTTGGTTGGGCTGCTTCTCATTTCTGTCTGCCAATAAACCCTGTAAAAAAGACACAATGTGTAACCATTGCCTGCTCTGAACTATATCCAGGCACAAATAACAGAATAAGATACAGATAACCTGATGTCATAGCTACCTGTAGGAGGTCAATAGCTTGTTTGATGTACATGCATTCTAAAACTGGCATTTTTGGTGTCACAGCAGTGAAAACAAAATCAATCAAATCCTGCAAAGGAAAACATTATGTTCATCTGAGTATAAAGAAACCCATTTTAAAAACTCATAAATCAGTGCCATGATTTATTTTTAATATAAGTGTTCAATTGCTTTATTCTGTGACTTAAATACATTTCACTTCAATTTCTGAGAGTACGAATATTCAGATTTAAAACATGAAAAGTCACTATTAGCAAACATCCTAAATAGGTAACTTTGATGTATCATAGTGAGTGAAATTATTCATAATGGCTACATAAAGCAATATTCAAAAGGAGCGATTCAAAAAGTGTTCTTGAGTTACATTGCGGATCTGCCATATATGTTGTGCACATTTACTGTTGCCTTTTTTTTGGTTGGAAGACAGCAACACAAAGCTTGCCATAACGATACATACATTAGACCATCTCCCTCTTTCTTGAGTATGATTCTCCTCTCACACATGCTGGTTTTTCACTAATATAACTGCAATGAGGTCCTTGGTTCAAACTGATGTGAGAGGATAATCAGGGCTATAGTTTCTAATGCACTTCAAATAAATTTCTATTACTATATTTTAAATGCTTTCAATACATTGGAAGAAAGTAGGTTGCAAGCTCCAGGAAGATAGTTTAAATGAGTTTATCATTTATTTGGATATTTTCTTTAGACATGGAGGAACTGGAGAAATAATAAGATGAAATGACAAAAAGTATATAAAAATATTAATGGTATTGAGAAGTTAGATCAGAAACTTCTGTTTTCCCTGTCTCAGAACACAAGAACAAGGGGACATTCAATTAAATTAAAAGGTGGCAAGTTCAAAACCGATAAAAGGAAAAAAAATTTTCTCAAGATGTGTAGACTGTGGAACTCTCTGCCACAAAAATTGAGCAAGATTCAAAAAAGGCTTGGACATTTATATTAATAACAAAAATAGCCAGAGTCATAATAGTTAATGTTAACAAAAATTTTGGATGGGAGATTAAACTTCATGCTCCAAGGCTAATGCTATTCTTCAACTGTTAGAGATCAGGATGAGATCTAATGTGGGGACCAGATTATCTCCCATCTGTCTATTGCAGTACTTTTACAAGTTCCTTTGAAGCACCTGTTTCTGGCCACTGTCAGAGATAGGACACTGGATTAGATGAACCTTAGCTCTGATCCAAGATGACAATTGCTCTGTATCGAATTGTACAAGAAAATGATAAAGCTCAAGTTGCCTACATCAAAGCAACAACAGATTTTACAGCTTTATATTCTCTGACAAAAAGGACCAATGCCACTAACTGAGCATCCTCTTTGTAGGATTCCTCTGATTACTTCAATCTCCAGAAACTTCCCCAGATGCTTACCTCTTGCAAAAAAGCAACTCTATCAGTTATAGGAGGCTGTATAACTCAGGGAGAGGAAATGTGCATGTAGAGCTTAGTGTTAGGATTTTAGATGTGGACAGTAAAGTTTAATATTTTGAAGCCACTTCTGAGGGTCATACTAACCTGACTGAAAAAGCTCCTATGGAAAAAAGAGACCTCAAAGATAGTCCTGATTCTATTGAAAATAGGTTTTTGTGAGTTTATTCTTCTCTTTTCTTTTGGTCTTTATATCACATTTTATATAGAAAGCTGAACTTCTGTAATTGTGTATATTTTATAAATGAGTAAATAGATACATTTTCCCCAAAGTTTCATACTGATATGTAATCTTCTTCACTTCCTGTCCTAAACTGTTGTCCACCACTGTTGTTTGCTATTAAATAGCTGCTGCAATTCCACACCACATGTGTTCAGTAGTGGGTGAAATGGTTCTTGCACAGCAAAGTGTTTTGGGATCCTTTGATAATGAAAGTAAATTTAAAATATTGGTATTATTTTTGGTCTCTTAACAGAATGTTATCATGACAAGAATTATAACAATATTTACCTTGACAGTCCCTTTACATTATTTAGTACAAATTGTCAGGACATCTGTGCCAGACAAAATAATATGGCAACTCTGATTCACAGTTCTTGTTTCTGATTAGGAACTGGCCCTGAGATTTCATTCATGGATCATGTTTACCTTATATACTGATTTTTAATGCTGTATAATCAAAGAACTGATAGTTCCTTGTAAACGAACTGTAAATACTGCATTTGATCTCTCACCTAATTCAGAGCCAAATTTAGTTCAATTCGCATCGATTTAAGTGGTTTTGCACAAGTGGTAATTGAAGACAGATTCTGTCCCTTCTGTAGCATTATCAACACTGTTCTACTACATGTTACTTACTTATAAGCTATCATCTCTGTATTTTTATCGATACTGGGTCTAATGTGAGTAATCCTGTATTTGAAGTTTGAATACTGCTGTTAGTACACTTTATTTTATGAAGTTCTCTTGTATAGTTTACTTATCCAATTTTTTATATACTGAAAAAAGTAAGAAGAGAAAAAGAAGCCATCTGTATATGGAATCAGTATTATCTCCATCTGTAAAATCAGCGTTATCGCTCACATTATTTGAGAAGCAAAGCTAGCTCATTAAAAATGAAAGGAGAACTGACAGTCTGACAACTTTGGTTTACATTTGGATAGTTCCAAATACAGCCTTCAGCATGGAAAAAACTTTATATTTCACTGCTTTTCCATCTCTCAGGCTAATAAAATACACTTTTTTTCTGAAAAACGTCACTCTTATGCGTTCAGAACAAGATACAGCATAAAATATAAAAAGATCATGGGACGGAAACAGTAAATTGACCCAAATATACATTATTTTGGAAGCATATTTTAAAAATTCATTATAAAAATTACCTTTCTTACCGCTGCAGGAAATATTAAGTCTGAGCATTACTTTTTGGAGGTTACAGCAAAATGAATGTAATGCCAGAAGTGGGTTTCAATGTAAATGGGAAGGAACTAAGATGAAATGTTTCTATGAGAAGTCATTTGTTAACATTCTAGCTATTGTAATAGTATATTAGTCATTGCTTTTGTCATATTTATAAACAAATTTTTTACAATGACAGGTCAAAAGGCCAGCACAAGAAAAACCTCACTTGTAGACTCCAACAAAAATGAAAAAGGTGGGGAAAAAACAACTATGGAATCTGAGGTAAATGAACAGGGAGAATTGGCAAAAGAGACAGTTAATGGGAAAGGAAAGGAAAGGAAAGGAAAGGAAAGGAAAGGAAAGATAGGTTTCAGTTGTGCTACTACAGGTGGCAACTAAAGAAATGAGAAGAAAATTACAAAGGCAAAAAGAATACACAGCATTAACTTTCAGTAGTAATGTTTTATGAAGAAAAATTAAGTTTCAGTTGCATCAGAGATTGTCTATTACATGTAAGACTAATATACATCCACCACTGTGTAGGACTGTCCCTGGTGATTAATGAAAACTCTGTCAATTCTCAGCCTTTGCCTCATTCATGAATATCTTGCAGAGGGTTACATAGCATTTTGTACTTGTAGTATGGAAGGATAAGACATTCTGGATTTTCCTTCTGGTCTTTTTGGATTCAGCATGATTTAGCCTAATAATTTATTAAAGAGATGCTATGTCAAAAGTATCATGCACACAAGTCTTAACTTAAAAGTGCATGGTGCTACAGAATATACACTTCACGGATCAAATGCACCCCTGCTGTAACTGAAGTTAACAGAGCTTCAATAAGGATGAATTTAGCCTGATTTTTTTCTTATTTATTTAAATATAACACAAACAAAAAAGCCCATTTAGACCCTCCTGAGCACTCTAGTGATAATTAAAATACCTAAAACAATGTTAGTCACCAAGCAGCATAAATTAATTCTGCCAGCCAGCAGCATAAAATAATCAAATGGAGATAACAATTTATCTCCAACCAGCCAACAGATTAAAAAAATAAAAACAAAGGGAAAAGCTCTCCCACCACTCAAATTAGTGGCCATATTATCCACCTAATATCGTTTCATTTAGATTACGTTAGCTATTGTTATAGGCCCTTTCTTTGTCCGCATTATGTCTTGTGGTTATCCTTCATGTCAGTTCTTTATTTTATTAAATAAATAAATGGGATAAACAACTGAAGTAGAATTTAGGAAAAATAATGCTAATTTATCCAGATGTGTTAAATAAGTAGATTGCAATTCATTTTAATTTGTAGCAAGTATTGGCCTTAATACCTGAAATACACTGTTAAAGCTGTTCCATAGGACATCAGAGTGTGTAGCAGGCAAAGTTTGCAGCCAAGCCTTTAAAATAGGCCTCCAATCTAACACTGAGGAACTCATGAAGACCATCCCATTACGAGATACTGTTGCTGGGGAAGCATTGTCAATGTTATGGGGCTCAAAAACAATCTTGCAGTTTGGGGACATTGGAATACGATCTCCATTAGCCAAAGTAAGGGTCTTGTTATCATCTAGAACGGAGTTCAGATTTTCAATCCATATTGCATCCACAGGACCATCCAAAACTATCCATATGTGTTCTCCCTAAAACATACATGTGCAAGTGTAAATACTATGATCAAAAATATAGTTTTTTTAACACAGGAGAATACATTACTTTATATAATATTGACTTATAAATTATCTGATCTGGTGCTGAATGCTTTATTATTAATCATAATATTTCCTTTTTTTCCTTATTTACCCAGTGATTTGAAATCTCACTTCATTACTGTGTGTCATACCAAAGATTTTTTGATCAAAGTGACAAAAAGTTAACTTCAGTTGTTATATACAGAGAGATGTTGCTTTCCCCTGTGACAGCCATATGGCCTGATCCTGTTCCCACAAAAGCGGGTGAAAACAATTTCCATTAACTTCAGTGAGAACAGGAGCAGGCCTACAATCCCTTAACAGATGATACCTAATTCTTTCATATCAACCTTTCACATTTTCCAAGGCCTAAATAAAACACAATGCAACCTTCATAACATATATGGCTCTGTGGCAGCACTGTTGGCAGGTCTGAGGAGAGAGAAGAGAAATCAGTATGCAACATTTTTCAACTGAGGCTATAACTACATTGCTCCAATATAATTACTGATCTGGAGTGGCGTGGATGTAAAACATGGGTGGGAGAGATTCCCCCACTTTGTCTCTATATTAAACCACTGAAAATCTTTGTATGGGAGTTGAAAAGAATGGAAGGACTAAAGGTTTACAGAAGATGAAAGAGGAAATAAAACCCTACAGAGCTCACTGATCCAGCCCCAGAACCTCAAGTCTGTGCTTAAGGAGGTGAGTGTTCTCTGGCATGTACTTCAGAGTAACCCTGTATACATTCCTAAATGCTCAGGGCTTGTCTTCACTTCCAGGGATATTGCAGCGGATGTCAATTTAGCGGGTCTAGTGAAGACCCACTAAATCAATGGCAGAACACTCTCCGGTCAACTCTAGTACTCCAGCTCCATGAGAAGATTAAGGTGAGTCGACCAGAGAGCATCTCCCATAGACGCAGCGCAGTGAAGACACCAAGGCAAGCTGACCTAAGCTACATCGACTCCATCTACGTTATTCATGTAGCTGGAGTAGCGTAACTTAGGTCGACTTACCGCAGTAGTGAAGACAAGCCCTCAGACACAAACAACAACTAAAATATTATATTTTCAAATTTGATTTGATCATAACAGACCCTTCATGTAAATGAAGCACTGAAAGGGATGTGTTGCTTTGTAATAATATCTTACAGAAACAGTATTACATGCTATTATTGGCTGTCAGAACACAATATCCAGTTACCTTCTTTGCTTTTAAAGTTTTTCTCCATAAAGTAGAGAAAATGCCATCTGTCCAATCATTTGTAGCAACATCCAGAGTACCAAACATCTGGGAAGCTGTAATTGCCTTTGGGTTCATCCTCATCTCTTTATGAGGAGTGCCACAGTCTGTCATGGCTTTCATCAAGATATTAATGCATTTTGTCTTTCCTGAACCAGTCGGACCCAGAGTCATCATACCTTAAAATAACATAAACTTGTTTTAAATAAAATGCCAAAATGTCAGACACCAATTTAATGATGCATTACATAAGAAACTTGTTTTTTTTAAATCAAAACTAAATTTAAAAAAGATGTTTTTCATTCCACTTTCTTGATGTTGACTGAAATTAAATTTTTAAATGTTTTATTAAAGCCTTTCATAAATGCCTGATTTATTCTGCTAGGCAAGCCAATGTGGCTCTCTATCCTCCCGTAGGCAGTTCTGTTCCTTTTTCTAATTGGAAAACACAGCTGTCTTTCGATGTTCATATGAGGTGACACTCAATTGATTGGTGGTAAACAAAAACAATCATTTTTAAATATCTTTTACAAGAAAGAGTTGTTCCAAGTGATATACAAAACTGAACATTTCTTCCTGGAGACAAGGAACAAAAACATACACTTGCATAAACCAGGAAGACATTTTTGATATATTTTTCTTAGTAACAGACAAACTTGTTACTTCATCAGTTTATACTCATGTTGCCAACTGAGTTCTTAAACAATAAATTAAAATTAGGCTATAGCTGATCCTATTCAGTTACTTTATATTAATTCAAAAAAGCTGTTTGCCAAGAAACAATGACATAGTTTGAAAGCAGATGGGAGATTCAGACTGAGATTTTCAAAGCCACCTAGAGATTTGGATGCCCGTTTCCCATTAATTGTAATGGAAATTGGACATCGAAATCCCATAGGTGACTTTGAAAATCTTGGATGCAAAGTTATGGAGGGATTTAGTAGCATAGAGCTTCTGACCAACATTATGGACCCAAGCATGCGTAATGCAGAGTGACTGTGACTCCCTCTAAAAGGAATAGGAGTTGTATGTGTTCAATATCTCATAGGAGGTGCTCAGAACTGTGCAGGATCCAGCCCTACATTAGGAACATAAGATCTGAGCCAAACCCATTCCAGTTAGAGAGAGACTCTCCGCTGAATCCAATGAGCTTTGGATTAGGCCCATAATGCAGAGCATGCCTCTAGGATCTGCGCACAGAGGGGACTCTAAACATACACAGATCTCCCTCTCTCCCTGTAGAAGAGAACAATTACAGCACTCTGCAGCACTCTTACCATTTCACTCTGGGTCCCCTGGAGAGCTCTCATAGATCTGAAGATCCAGGAGTGGTGAGGGTATTGGGAGGAACTGGAGCTAAGGGAATGTGCACTGTCTCCCCTCCAATTTATAAAATTAACGGTGGAAAGTTAATACAGGTAAAGGTGATGTTAACTTTTCAGTGGTGCCTCTCTGCCTTGGCAACCACCTAAAAGGAGTATTACTAGGCCAAACATCTGCAAGGGAGTCTCTGACAGCAGATCTCACAGCTTCCTTTGGAGCTGCACTGCCAGGGAGCTGGGCCAGAGTTTCAGGGGCCCAGACCCAATATGGAGGCACTGAACAGCAGACCCTCTGCTCTCAAGGGAACTTGGGGATCTGTGTGGATCTCAGGGGAATTGTGGTGTTTGCGGGTGAATGTTCAGTTTCTTGCAGTTGGACACAAATCCCACACTCCAAGAGTAAAATTCAAAGGAAATTCTACAAGGGGAACCTTGAAGTTTCCCTGGCCCTCACATTGGTATTGCCCCTAGAGGGTATTATATTAGCCTCAGAATTTCATTCTGCATTAGACCAATGAATCAAGAAGAAATATTATTAGCCATAACATTATTCAGCTCTTTAGTTTAACCAGACATAATATGTGAACGGACTTTCTGAGACAGTAAAGACCACAGATTTAAATATGCTTTTGTGAAGAAAGATCTCCTTTTATTTGTTCTAAATGCACCAGGGTATTAGTTTAAGCTAGAGACCCCTGATTTGTGCACTATGGGAAAGCATAAAAAGGATCATCCTTCACAAATCCCTTCATAAATCTTGAGAAATTTAATCAGAGTCCCTTTATCTCTTTTCCTTTCCAGGCTAAGTAATTCTGGTGTTTGCAATCTCCCATCATTTGTAAATCTGGCTGTACCACTGTCTTTGTTACCCTTCTATGGACTGCGTCAATTTCTATTCTATCTTTCTTCAACTGAAGAGATCAGCATTGAACAGAGAAGTTCTAATGGTGTTTGGAAGTACAACAGGCATGTGGTAGTACCCATTACAGTTAAGGATTCAAGACAGTTCATTTGCAACCTCTTCACTTTAACATGGTCATAACTATAGGAAACATTCACCTTTTGAGCTGAAAAGAGCCATGATTAGTCTCTGCCTGAATTTGACTTTTTTCAGAATATTGAGCAAAATCAGCTGTTTCTGAGTTTGGCGAGAAGATTTCCCATAAAAAGACATACCATAGCACAGCTAAATTGTCAATATTATGAGGACAAGGTGGGCTCTTTGTTTATGATAAAAATTATTCTTAACAATTTTCTCATAAAAATATCCATATGAGGCTTTAAAAACGACATCTGTTTAGTTTCAAAATACATTATTAAAGAAAAAAATCTACAATTTGTAGAAAACAAATATAAAAGCCTTTACTGCTATAATAGAGTATGAAACCCTCATTTGGCATGCTAACCATGTCGGACTCGCTGAGTTTCATACAGCTGAATAAGCTTAAGAATCCAGGGAGGATGATGAATAAGCCCTGCTTTCTCTGTCTCTTTCCGAATGGCCGACTCCAGTTCAGGATACCCAACCTTATCAAGAGTAATTCCAGGGAACAGGTCGTTAATCAGACTCATAAATAAAGGTTCATCTTCATCTACCTGTCAATTAAAAAGTAGGGAAAAAAAACCAATTATTTATTCTTTGAAAATAATTATTATTGTAATTACAATCTGCAAGAATATGTTAATTAAATGACAGTAGTAAAATAGATCTCTTTTCTAAAACAAACGTGAAAATTATGAGTGGATGTATGCTATTAAAATGACTTTCAAGCAATTTAGCCATAGATAGGAATTTCTAAATTACATATTAACTTAAAATGTATGTGAATGTTTAAATTTTAGTACAATTCTTGTAAATCTCTCCATCCATTAGTCCTTTAGACAAACAGGCTAGATTTCCCCTTACTTCTTCTCTTGAAGTCTAATTTTTTTCCTATGTAAATCATTATAATATAGACTGTGGTTTAAAAATGTGCATGAATTAGCAAGACAGTTAATTGTGAATCTGGTGTTTGTGTACTTTAACAGAGGTTACACACAGTATATAATCTTCCCACTACAGCAAAATGGAAAAAACGAAGAATTCTTTGGATAGAAGAGGGTAATGGTGGAAGAGAATAGAGTAGATAAGTATTCTTTAGCTGCTTCAAAACAGCTCACTCACTATAAGTCATTCTGGTTGTTATGATGTCTGAAAAGGCAGATGGCCAAGAATTAGTGTACATTGAAATTCTGGATTACTAGGGATCTAAAATGACAAATGAAATGTTAATTCAATGTGCTCTTTTTCCCTCTCTCTTTTGTTTGCTCTCCTTTCCATTCCATATAAAAGTAATTTAAAAATCAGGCTAGATTTTCCTCTCAGATCTTATAGGATTTCTTCTTCTTATTTCCTCATTTGAAGTCTTTGATTGCTGGGGGGGAGGGGGGAAGAGTTGTCCTCTCTTCATAAAAAGGAAAAAATGGGTTCAGAGCCCCATCACTTTGATATGCCAGACATTAAAAGAGAAGTAGTATCATTGCCAACGGATGTAGCCTACTGCTGAGAAAATAAACTTTATTTCATACTAACATGTAATAAATACATTTTTAAAAAGCGTTTTGTGAAGGTAACCAATGTTACGATACCAGCTTGGAGAGGTTCATGTCCCGTAGAACTCTCATCACTACTGTTTTCTCTGGCTCATTGGGATTGGATCTTTTTACTGCTCCAAGAGTTCTTAAGACAGATAAAATATTTCTTAATCCAAAATCATAGTGAACCTTAAAACAAAGCATGAACACAATTAGTACTGTCGAAGTTAAGCACTTTAAAAATATGGCAAAGGCTGGAAACGAAATGCATTTAAGAAGTAGCCTATCAATAAAATTTCACAGTTCTTCATCCTCACAAAAAGAGTAAAGGTTTTGTTGGTGTCAGATCCTATAAATAATTTTCATTGTTGTATCTCCAGTTATAACAAACACAATTACATTTACTTAACCTTAAAGTTGTAACACAAAGCCACAGCAAATAAAATCAAAGGTTCTATTCTTAACACTCTGTGTGATGCCAAGGATTTGACACACATATGGCACTGTAAGGAAAATCACCCATTTTCTGCGTAGAGCCCTCGACAATAGGTAGATTCTACCAGACAGACTCAGGAGTGCGTATCCTGATTTTTTATTGCCTAATTTTGGGACTGACACACACGCACACAAGTATTTGCAAGCTTCTCAGCTGTGCAAGTAGCTGAAAGCTGTGGCTCCTGCCTCGCTGTAGAATGAACATCCAAGGAAAACAATGGCCTGCCAATGAAAGCCTTCTTCCTCTTCATCAAAAGATTCAGCCTTGCAGCCACAAACTGTTGTGATGCTGAAGGGTTGAGAGCTCGTGCAAATCACAATTCTGGATAAATCATGTGCTTTAAACTGCTGTGAAGCAAGTTGGAGTTACTTTAGTGATAGGATGGAATAACTATCCTACATACTAATTTAGGGCAGAACAGAGTTGCTCTCACAAGCTGCCAAATATTCTTAGCTCTCCATGGGAAACATGCCTGACCCAATCTTCTACCAAGTGTGCTGCCACTCCTTTGCTCGGCAATGAAGTATTACAGCAATACCAACACTGCGGTTACAAATGCTCACTTTCATAACTTCAGGTGAAAGGTGATACAGAATGGCAAATTATTACCATTTTACTATTATTTCAGGGGAAAGGAAGTACAAAATTAACTGCAAATGTTGACCCAGAGGAGCAGAGACGGGCAAAAAGAAGCAGCTACAGGGGGGAGGAAGAAGTGCAGAGTAATTCTAAACACAAAAGAGGAAATGCTGAAAGATCATTTCGTATCCAATAACATCTTTTTGAAGGCCCAGCATCTCCACTAGTCCTGACTGCTCAGTGCGGGCCTCTGCTGGAATTCTGGGGGCTACTGAACTGCTGCAACCATGAAAACTGTGCCCCTCAGGCCACACCTCTTCCTCTTGGTGTACACTTGAGTATTTTCACAACTGTGTAAATAGATTCAAGCATTAGCAACCACACCTAATTATATTCTTTGTAACTTTAAACAAAGCTTTAAACAATTAACTGTAAACTGTGTTCAAACATGGTACAATGTCCCTCCTTCCTCTGGGTGGGATGAACTACTGCAGATGCAATTTCCAAAAAGGAAATTTTCAGATAAGAAGTTTGCCATTCTAAGGGAAGGGATCTCCTCTTCTTCTCACAGCTGAGAAATCATAGCAATAAATAAAGAATAAGGAGGGAGAGAGAGAGAAAAGAAAGATTATTAGCTAGATTAGAATATCTCCTCTCTTGAAATACTTCAGAGTTCATCTGGGAACCACTACATGGAGCAACTTTCTCCTGAAGGACGCATCTTCAGAGGAATGTATGCCAAGTCTGTAGTGCTTACAGAAAGAGCTGAATGTCCACAACTCTGCCTTGTGTATTTTTTCTGATGTGGCCATACCTCTGTCTGCCCAGAAGATGGCTGTAGATCTAACTGTGGGAGCTGTTGTTTTCTCTGGGATGGGCTGATCTGGTGACATATAAGAGTGTCTGATGCATTCCTTTATACGTTTGGCTACTTTGAGGTCTTGTGTAATTTGCATTTAAAGTGAACTACCACAGTCACATGATTTTTCTTAGCACTTATATAGGTTTTATGTATATTAGGACTGCCTTATGTTCAACCAGACTGTGCAAAGGTGATGTTCTGTCATAGACAGGATTAGTGCAAAAAGATGGTAGAATAATTTCCTGTGAAGGATGACGACACCTTAATGGTGAAGTCTGGTATAGTGCTCATAATTCGTCTGTCTTGGTGAAATGTTCAGCGGAGTTGTGAGGTAGACAGGGCCGATATTTCTGATACTCTCCATGCTAGGTGACTGAAGAAATGATTATCTTATCGAACTTGCAGAAATGCTGTCAGAATCATCAGAAAATAGATAGAAAAACTAGGTAGAGACTTTGGGCCAGATGCTCTGGTACACTCTGGCTGCTCCGTACCACTCTAGTGATACAAAATGATCTTAAGCCTGGCTTAATCAGTCTGCTATTTTTACAATTGCATTGCAACTCTGGAATGTCAGAAAGCAGCTGGAGCTTACTGGCAATTTTGTTCTTCTCCTTTTCATCCCAAAACATCTTTACAGACAGAGGGAGCTGTTACTCTTGCTGTTCATTCCTGTCCCTGTCTTGTTCCTCCATTAAGCCCAGTTTGGTCATGACCCTGCACACAATGTCCCATCATCTAGTCAGTGGTCAGCCTCTAGGTCAGACTGACCTTGGGTGTGTTTGCATTACAGGGAGTCCTCGGACTTATGACACAATTTGTTCCTCAGAATTGCTTTGTAAGTTGAAACGTAAGTCGAAACTGCTTTTCCCATAGGAATCAATGGTATGAAGGGGGGATTGGTTCCTGAACCAAGGCTTGATACACTATTTTCACCACAAAAAGAAAAGGAGTACTTGTGGCACCTTAGAGACAAACAAATTTATTTGAGCATAACCTTTCATGAGCTACAGCTCACTTCATTGGATGCATGCAGTAGAAAATACAGTGGGGAGATTTTATATACACAGAGAACATGAAACAATGGGTGTCACCATACACACTGTAACGAGAGTGATCAGGTAAGGTGAGCTATTACCAGCAGGAGAGAAAGGTATCTCGGGGCCTCTCCTTCTGCCCCTCCACCCCCAAGAACATGATAAAGTTCTGTGGTGACCTAGAATCCTATTTTTGACGTCTCCAACTCAAGGAATATTTCCAACACACCTCTGAACAACATACTAACTCACAGATACCTTCCTACCAACACTACAGAAAGAAGGATTCTGGGTGGACTCCTCCTGAACGTCGAAACAACAGACAGGACTTCTACATAGAGTGCTTCCGCCGACGTGCACGGGCTGAAATGGTGGAAAAGCAGCATCACTTGCCCCATAACCTCAGCCGTGCAGAACACAATGCCATCCACAGCCTCAGAAACAACTCTGACATCATAATCAAAAAGGCTGACAAAGGAGGTGCTGTCGTCATCATGAATAGGTCGGAATATGAACAAGAGGCTGCTGGCAGCTCTCCAACACCACTTTCTACAAGCCATTACCTTCTGATCCCACAGAGGGTTATCAACAGAAACTACAGCATTTGCTCAAGAAACTCCCTGAAAAAGCACAAGAACAAATCTGCACAGACACATCCCTGGAACCCCGACCAGGGATATTCTATCTGCTACCCAAGATCCATACACCTGGAAATCCTGGACGCCCCATCATCTCAGGCACTGGCACCCTGACAGCAGGATTGCCTGGCTATGTAGACTCCCTCCTCAGGCCCTACGCTACCAGCACTCCCAGCTATCTTCGAGACACCACTGACTTTCTGAGAAAACTACAATCCATCAGTGATCTTCCTGAAAACACCATCCTGGCCACTATGGCTGTAGAAGCCTTCTACATCCAACATTCCACACAAAGATGGACTACAAGCCATCAGGAACAGTATCCCCAATAATGTCACGGCAAACCTGGTGGCTGAAGTTTGTGACTTTGTCCTCACCCATAACTATTTTACATTTAGGGACAATGTATACCTTCAAATCAGCGGCACTGCTATAGGTACCCGCATGGCCCAACAGTATGCCAACATTTTTATGGCTGACTTAGAACAACGCTTCCTCAGCTCTCGTCCCCTAATGCCCCTACTCTACTTGCGCTACATTGATGACATCTTCATCATCTGGACCCATGGAAAAGAAGCCCTTGAGGAATTCCACCATGATTTCAACAATTTCCATCCCACCATCAACCTCAGCCTGGACCAGTCCACACAAAAGATCCACTTCCTGGACACTACGGTGCTAATAAGCGATGGTCAAATAAACACCACCCTATACTGGAAACCTACTGACCACTATGCCTACCTACATGCCTCCAGGTTTCATCCAGACCACACCACACGATCCATTATCCACAGCCACGCTCTATGGTACAACCGCATTTGCTCCAACCCCTCAGACAGAGACAAACACCTACAAGATCTCTATCAAGCGTTCTTACAACTACAATACCTACCTGCTGAAGTGAAGAAAGAGATTGACAGAGCCAGAAGAGTACCCAGAAGTCACCTACTACAGGACAGGCCCAACAAAGAAAATAACAGAATGCCACTAGCCATCACCTTCAGCCCCCAACTAAAACCTCTCCAGCGCATCATCAAGGATCTACAACCTATCCTGAAGGACAACCCATCACTCTCACAGATCTTGGGAGACAGGCCAGTCCTTGCTTACAGACAGCCCCCCAACCTGAAGCAAATACTCACCAGCAAGCACACACCACACAACAAAAACACTAACCCAGGAACCTATCCTTGCAACAAAGCCCATTGCCAACTGTGTCCACATATCTATTCAGGGGACACCATCATAGGGCCTAATCACATCAGCCACATTATCAGAGGCTCGTTCACCTGCACATCTACCAATGCGATATGTGTCATCATGTGCCAGCAATGCCCCTCTGCCATGTACATTGGCCAAACTGGACAGTCTCTAAATAAAAGAATAAATGGGCACAAATCAGATGTCAAGAATTATAACATTCAAAAACCAGTTGGAGAACACTTCAATCTCTTTGGTCACTTGATTACAGACCTAAAAGTGGCAATTCTTCCACAAAAAAGCTTCAAAAACAGACTCCAATGAGAGACTGCTGAATGGGAATTAATTTGCAAACTGGACACGATTAAGTTAGGCTT